GCGTTTCTTCTCTGTAATATGGATAGAGTAAGATTTTCTAACCTTTTTTTTTCTGTGTGTTTGATGGTGTTGAATGATTTGTTTCTTTATTGTTTTTGCAATTAAGAAGTGCCGCAGCTATCGGTATGTATAAAATAAATGCAGCTCGCAATTTTGTCACGAGAAGCTACAGGAACATTACTAGTCGTTGTTAGTTGCTAAAGTAGGCAAAATAAAGGAGATAAACTTGTTTAAAGCTATGGAAGCATAATTATAAATAATACTCATAGCATTGACAGCTAAACTGAACGCGTGCGTTTAAAAAGCTTGATTTCAATCGCTGGTATATACAATGGTCTCATGTGTCACTTGATTTTCTTATTAATAAAAAGGAAAATTCTTAGCTAATCCAGTATTGCCATAGAATAATATATTGCCTTACGTTGCATGCCATTGGAAGTCCTCAATTTCTCAAGTAGCTCGAACTCTTAATATCGACATCTGATTCACATTGACAGGTAAATATGAGCATTGCCATACTTCCTATGTCAGCAGAGTATAACTGGAACCCCACCACCGTTGGTCTAATACAGTCTTCCTTTTTCTGGGGATACTTGCTCACTCAGGTAAAAGTTGATATTGATAAGCATAAGTTTGATTAGTCCTGGGCATATACGAACGTGGACTTAAAGTTCATGATTCTGAATCTTAGACACCGGCTGCAGATTGCCGGTGGAATATGGGCAGACACGGTTGGGGGAAAGCAGGTTTTGGGATTTGGCGTTGTTTGGTGGTCTATTGCCACTGCCCTCACTCCTGTTGCAGCAAAACTTGGATTGCCCTTCCTACTAGTTGTTCGGGCATTCATGGGAGTTGGTGAGGTGAGTTTTGTTAGTCAGACTGTTAACATTTTATTTGTTTGCATTCTACTTGTAAGAAAGGCTTCCAGATGCAAAGTTCTCCAAAGTAATTCATGAAATCAATAAAAAGGATTTTTTTTTTTTGGGGGTTTACTGTATTTTATGTTGTCCCCAGTTCTAGCAGTGATTTTGATATATGCAAATGGAGTGCTCTTCATTTGGCCTGTTTGTTGTTTCAGGGTGTAGCAATGCCAGCCATGAATAATATTCTATCAAAATGGGTTCCTGTAGCAGAGAGAAGTAGGTCATTATCACTGGTCTACAGTGGCATGTACCTTGGATCAGTCACTGGACTGGCCTGTTCGCCATTTCTAATTCATCAGTTTGGATGGCCATCTGTATTTTACTCCTTTGGTTCGTTAGGGACTATCTGGTTTTCTGTTTGGCTTAGTAAGGTAAGATTAGCTTAGCACGCCCTAAATTATTTATTTTTTTCAGCGTCTCTTCCTTTCTGGATTTGAAATACCCAGACGTGTTTTTTAAGGAATACTTTCAGTCTCTAAATTGGTTCTTTATCCATTTACAAAATCTTTTTTAAGTTTATAAGAAGTTCGCCAGATCCTAGTAGCAATTTTTTCCGCTTGCTCATGTGCTTATCTCTTCTGTTCTTCTGGGAGCTGATGTTGTAGGCACACAGTTCACCTCTTGATGATCCTGAATTGCGGGATGAAGAAAAGAAATTGATTACCACAAGCAGCTCTTCCAAGGAACCTGTGAAAAATATACCTTGGGGCTTGATTTTGTCTAAAGCGCCTGTTTGGGCTTTGATAGTGTCTCATTTTTGTCACAACTGGGGAACATTTATCCTTCTGACTTGGATGCCAACATATTATAACCAAGTATGTCTTTCTATCGGTCAAGCATTCTTCATTTCAGTCTTGCCAAGCGTTAATTTTATGCATTATTGTATCTTGATGTTGAATGGCCATGGCAAGTTGGAAGTTAATGTCAAATTTACATTAACAGAAGGGTCATTTACCTTTGTAATTACAGGTCCTGAAGTTCAATCTCACAGAATCTGGCCTATTCTGTGTTTTACCATGGTTTACAATGGCTCTTTCTGCAAATTTTGGTGGTTGGATTGCAGACACTCTTGTAAGCAGGGGTGTATCAGTTACAAGGGTTCGCAAGGTATCCTGTCCTGTTTCCTTGTGCCTGAAGAGTTTGGGACCTATTATTGCGAATTCAAAAACTTAACTTTTCAAAACAGAAAATAAATCTCTATATCTGTCTTTGACCCATTTGAAAACTGTTGTATGATTTTTTTTTTTTTTGGGTAAGTTTTTAGAGAATAATACTCTTCATTATTTTAATATTTTTCGTTTTGAGCCAAAAAAACAAGAAGGTAATTCTTCTTGTCTTATTATGCTGTGTTTAGGAAACATCAATCCACGTTTGAGCTGTTATTTCATATTAAGTCCTCTTTGAATTTTTTTCCACGTACAATATGATTGATGGGTATATTAGTTCACGTTTGAGGGGTTTATCATATGAATTTTTTCCCGCATTTTAATATTAAAAAGAAACATATCTGTCATCAACCTTTACTTCATCTTTTTCTGCACATTTTCTCTGTTAAGATTATTGAGGCCAAACTTCAACATGTTTTATGAATAGTGAGGGAGAAACTCGTTTGACTTCTTTACCATGGACACAAGGCAACTTAGGTGCTCTATGCAATTTAAGTTATACAGGGCCCTGACAGTATATTGTTATTATTTCGTTTGCAGATAATGCAAACAGTTGGCTTTCTTGGCCCAGCGTTCTTTTTAACTCAGTTGAGCCACATAAATTCTCCTACAATGGCTGTTTTGTGTATGACATGCAGTCAGGTTTGGACCTCGATTTCTGCTAATATTTACGTATTTCCTGTTATGGTATTGAATACCTCTGAATGTTGTTCACTTTTTAAGTACTTCTTGTATTAGTGTGAGTCCGTTGTATCTGGATAAAGAGCTCTTGTTATCAGAGTTTCTCACATCTAAGTACTTTTTTTGGTTGGGCCAGAATCTCACATTTAAGTATCAATCAATTAATTTTACTGTGGTTTCTAGTTCAAAATGATGAACATGCGAATCTGACCGCGTTGCAAAGTAAAATTTTATTACAATAAGGTCTTGAGAATTTTTATGAAGGTTTAACTATATGCTACTAGTATTTTCTTTTCTTTCCCTCTTTATTGAAATATTTTGTTTATGATTAAACTAGGTGAAGCACTTAGACGAACTAGATTGGGTTGGTTTGCTTGTTCAAAATTTGAGATTGAACAATACTAATTTGCTACGTATTCTCTTTAAATAGGGAACTGATGCTTTCTCTCAGTCTGGTCTATATTCCAATCATCAAGATATAGCCCCACGATATTCAGTAAGTACATTCATTATGCCTAGATATTTCTGCAGTATGTAATTTTTTTTTTAATATATATATATTTGATCCACGGAATAAGAGTTCAGCAGACCTGTCTTCTCGAGTGTTGTAATTTACCATATTCTTATCAGTTAATTACATGACTATATTATTTTAGAAGGAGGAAGCTAAGTTTAGTATTTATTTCATAATTCTCTTCTCAGGGCATATTGCTTGGCTTATCTAATACTGCTGGAGTATTGGCTGGTGTTCTTGGAACGGCAGCCACAGGCTACATTCTACAGCATGGTTAGTAATTCTTCCTTACCCTATCCTAGCTCCCAAAGAAGCTCCAATCCTTTTAACCTTGGTGCTTTGACATGGACCATTGACTAATATATATATATATATATATATATATATATTGGGGACATGTGATGGATAAATTTGACGAGTATGAAAGCTTATAATTTAGACTTAAACAATAAACATAAAAATGTGTCAGGCATGCTCTTTAGTAACTTGCGTCTAATGTTGGAGGCAAGAATCTGATGCTACATTTATGTGTGACCTCGTGAATTATGATGATCAGGTTCGTGGTCTGACGTTTTCAAGGTCTCAGTGGGGCTGTACTTAGTGGGAACTGTGGTGTGGAACCTTTTTTCTACTGGTGAAAAGGTCATAGATTAGCTTACACATGGATAATTGCAACTTCACTTGTGGAGATGTGATCAAATCTCTGAGTCCCAAGGAAGCTAGAAACGAAAACAATTACAAGAAGGGGAAAAAAAGGGGATAAAGAGGAAGCAAGCACGTCTCTCCAAGGCTTCATGCCAGATTGCCTGACCAATACATAGATCCACATTCCTTACATTTACAGAAATGATTGTATATGATACATTGAGAAATTGGTGGAGGAAGGAGGGGTAATGGGCATACCATTATAAGAGGATGAATCTTGTACACAAGTCTTTTTTTGTTTTTTTGTATGTTTCTCTTTGATTACATGATTACATGAATACATGAATGGGGTTGATTCGATTTACAAATAAAATATTGAGAAAATTCATATCATTCATGGATCATGAATAATGTAGATTGTGAGATATTTCTTAAAGATACAAATATGAGCAATTTGCTGTATCGAAAAATGATTAGATTGACGAAACTGAAAATTCAACTAAAATCTCGCCAGAGTCACGTTGTTGATGATGAGGTTTTTTTTCCCCAGTTACAAGGGTCAAGTTCATATGTACAGTTGATTTGGTTAAGATTTAATTTTCAATGATGGTAGAACGGTTCTCTCTCTTAAAACTTTATTCATTAAACTCGCAAATGACATAATTAAAGACGACCTTTTTTTTATTACATTTTATTATGAGCTATTCCTTTTTCCCTAAACCCTCAAATAGAGCCTTAATATTTATACATTGGGTGAAACAAGGTGATCATTAATGGTGGGGTTTGGTTCATAAGATCATCAGTCACTTTCAATGAATGAATTCGTTAGTGTCAGGATGTCATGAAAAGACGCCTCGCCTATATTTATATATATTCTTAAAAATTTCGGTTCAGTAGGATCAAAGTCGTCTGTGATGTTAATGGCTCTAATTGAGACCCACGAATTAGGTCAAAAATTGAAAATAAAGCTCCAGGAACCTCATCTTATGTCCCCTTCTGAGGCCGAAATGTCATATTTTGTAACAGAAGTCGGACTTCATAAAAAGACGCAAAAAAATTGGCCCCATGAGAAATTCAGAACTGAATATATATATATATATCACATAATTTCTAAAATGTCCAATATGATTAATTATCATCACATGACATTGGATTCTTGCACCAGAACTGTTGAAGTTGAAGATGAAGCCTGAAATTTTTTCACAAAGCTCTCTGCCTTCTTACATTACAACATTTTAACCCTAACAATACCAATCAACTACACAAGAAGCAGCCCTCGCCTTTGGCCCTCGTGATCACCAACTACACAAAAACAACAAACAAACAACCAAAAAATTAGATTAGTATTTCCTGCACAATCCTTATTTTCTTAACAAAATTAAATAAAGAAATTTCCGAGTGTTGATCAGTACCACCACACGATCAAAATCACAAGCCACTGCCACCGTCGATCACACGCTGTACACAATCACAAAGCATGGAAGCACGGCTCTGGGATTGAACACCAAAAGCTCCTCTTCGTCCAGCCGGGTGTAAACTCCGGTTCCTCCTCGCGCCATCACCGAATCAAAACCCCCGTCCTCCTTGTCGGCCTCGTCCGAGTCAGTGCCGATTCGGCCCGCTATGACTCGGCATACCAGCATGGCCCGCTTTATGTTCATGAACTTGAACTCTTCCTCCACCTCCTCCGGGATGGCCACGTGCGCCCTCCAGCTCGTCGACAGCGTGGAGATTCCGTCCAACTTGGGGGAGAACCCCGATTTGATGATCCCGCAGATACTACAGTATTGCTGGCCACAAATGCCGGAATTCCCGTTGAGTCCCAAGTCGCAAAGGAATGTGGAACAATGGAATCTCATGAGCTCGTTGCCGTCGGCTATGCATCTCTCGTCGCGCTTCTTTACGGCCCCGTTTCGGGCGGCCTTGGCCTTCACCGTCTCTCTGTATTCTTCGAACTTGGATAGTATCTTCTGGCTGTTATGGATCTTTAGGATCCGATTGATTCTGGGACATTTCTGTGGGTTGGTCCAACCCGACTTGAATATTATTTGTACTATGTTGTGACCAGCGTCGGTCTCCACCAGCTCCGCTACGGCGTGGTTGAGCGATTGATGCTGTTCGAGAACTTGTGCTTTCTGGAAAACCTCGCCGCAGGCGGTGCAGGGGAAAATGTCATTGCGGAGGGGGAAGAAGTGATTGTTGTCGGCGGCGATATCGGATTCTGGGCACGACGCACATGGTTTTTTCCCGGGAGGATCCAGCGGATGCGACTCGGCTTGAGCCAGAGAGACCAACGACTGCTGGGAGGATCTGGTCGATGTTAAAGAAGGCAGTGCGGCGGAGACGGCGGAAGCAGCGGAAATAGCGGTGGAGGCGGAGGATTGCGGCGATCCCTGAGCAACGTCACTGGTTTTGCAGGGTTTGTGGGAGAAAAGGTGCTTGACGAAAGCCCAAGAAGAAGAAAGGGCCTTACGGGTTTTGAAATTGGGATGGGAAGGCGAAGGTTGCCGCGAGTGCGAAACAGGGGATACCTTGCGTTTCTTTGACGAAGACTTTCGGGCACCTTGTCCTCCCCCTTCACCGCCACTGCCGGCCGCGGTGGAGAAGATGAAGCAGCCGAGGTGGACAAAGACGATGAAAAGAGAGACGAACCTGCCCAAGAAACCAACAAAGTTTGCCATAAGTTACGCAACAAGAACCTTGACCGGCGAACTCGCTTAGTAGGCCATGAAGGATGAGGAAGAAAGGATCATGGGCAGGTCGAAGGAAAGACGAGAATGATGAAGACAGCGTGAAGAGAGGGAAAAAGAAAGGAAAAAGGAGAGATTGATGCCTATGCGGGAGGGTAGGGGGGACAGGAGAAGAAGAATAAAGGCTAAAGGTGAAAAAGAGTGGGTGGAACGCAACTTTGCCGGTGATTGAAGGATGGGGCGTGAAGCACAGTGAGTGACGCAGTAATCAATCAGTATGGTGGTGTGGTGGCCAATATTTGGATTATAATATAAAAAGGCAGAGTCTCGCAAGAGGCGCGAGAGAGAAAGCAACGGTCTGTGAATCTCTCTCTATTCCTTTCTTGTTTCATTTTCCCTCCAATTCAGGCAAGAAATCGAGTTATCAATACACGGTTAAGCAATTATGATCCAACCGATCTTACTTCTTCACTAATTTGAGGTGACCAAAAAGAAATAAATTGAAGGATCCATTAGACATTCAGCTCTTCTTTTTAGTTGGGAACAAAATCTATTTTGATCACTATAAAACATAATTCATTTAATTTTTAACAAATAGTTGTGCTACACTAGGTAATTAATTTGATGTCAATATATATAATTTCAATTAAATATTGGGATTTAAGATAGATAGATAGAGAGAGAGAGATAATCATTTTGCTGGACTAAATGGGTAGAACTAGGATGATAAAAAATTAATAACGAAAAGGATGTCACCAAACAATGAATGGCAGGCAAACGAGAGGAAATCATGCATGGGCATGTGGAGATCATTAGAAGCTGCCGAATATTTTGATCCAAGAAATGCATGCATGCGTGTGCTGCGTCTTAAGAATCTTTATTAATTGGATAATCAGCAGAAGAATTCTGGGTTTCATGTTATTTCCAAGACATGGCAAGCACCTGACAGTCCCACGTGCCTCACTTCCTTATCAATCGCCCCATTTCATCCCGGATTTATCTGAAATTAGCTGCCACATTTCACATAAAAACAATAGAATTCACAGCAAGAGCCGTATAGAAGCTACAATAATGCATGTGTAATCTTTTATCTCAAGAAGAATCCTAAGCGAAACACTTGAGTTTGTCTGGTGTTTTTATAACTATTCTTTCTCAAGATTCGATCAGTACACCCACACACATGACTTTGTCTCTCTCGCTCATCACGCATTTTCGGATTCTAAGTCTCTTAATTAAGGTTAAATAGACAAATAGAGAGAGAGGAATACGTAACCGTGAAGATTATTAGTGGGAAACGTTGTTTGCCTGAATTAATTAAAGTTTATTTGGAGACAGATACACTCAAATACATGAATCTCTAAAACATTGTGATTTGTACTGTGCAGTGTGTGTGTCCTTGGCTCGCAGACAAATGTCACAGTGCTTTGGGGGCCATGCATCGGCACATGAGAGTCATAGGAACTTTTGGCCTTTAGTACAGCATAGCAACCTCTAACAACAACGGTATTTTACTTTCTTCTCTTTAATTTCGCATGTGTTCTTGTATCCCAAACTAAGTTAGTTAATTTCTATATGATTATGCTCCATTTTTGTAACTGTAAGCTGCAAAACAACTTGGCGATAATGAGACGTTGGTTTGTGATGCTTAACTAGCAGGCATGCCTTTGAATGTTTGATGCGTAGCTATATATCAAATACACATTCGACTTTCAAATACCAATGCAACGTATAAAATGGCGTGATGTGTAAATTGAAGTATGATGGATCAAGGAAATCAAGGCAAACTGGGTGGCTGCCTTAGAGTGTGAACTGATATGTGTAGCATTTTGAGGTTGGAACTTTCAATGTTGACGATGGGTCTCTGGTTTTTAGGTTCTTTGTATCAGTTCCCATTCACATTACCCGAAATGAAATCACATACCTGTTCATGCGCGCGCCCGCACTGATAAAAGCCTTGCATATTAATGTACTGTTTAATTTCAATTCTTAATGTAAGAGCTCGTTTAATTTTTATTTTAATATTTTGAGAACAACACAAAACAAAAGTATGAGTAACACAGAACGTATAAATTGGATAGAAACTCAGAGCGAGAAAGATGGAGAGTTGCCCATAACTGCAACTTCACTTCTTTTGGAGACATTTAAAAAAATTCACAGTAATAATAACTACTATCAATGTTGCTACATACACATGTGGTTCTCTGTAATTTGCCTGGGGGTTTTCCCTTTGATATGTCATGAAGCAATACTGTGTATTCATGACTGGGGTAATGAATGATGAGCTTAGGGACCAGGGAGACAGGATTTTCAAAGCGGGCCAGATATATTATCCGCGATTCTAGGTTTGTTTCCAATAGGGGCCCTCATTATCAGCATCTAATCTTTTTTGCTTAACCACTATATATATTCATTTCGAGACTTCATAGAAGCATCATCCTCATCATTTCCCTCCATTTATGTCCTCCATTAATGGCTGCGCTGTTACTGTTATCTAACTCCATCATATCTTAAAACAAAAGGACGAGATGCAAACCAAATATTATAATCATTCTTACAAATTACAAGAAATTAAAATTACTCGCCTAGTACTAAATTAGCACGTAACCTTTCACCCATTGAAAAGAAATCAGCAACCTATAAATTCTCAGAAATCAGCTTATTATATTAGTTCACTGTTCGGCCATGCTTGATTGACTTGAGATTGAGCTAGTCAACCTCGAGTAAAGTGATACTACCTCTTGTCATTATTCATTAGTATAATAATTAGTTGAGTAATTTAAGTAGATTAAAAAAATTAGTTAAATTAGTTATTTATAATAAACAAGTGTTATTTTTTTTAAATATCCTTGTTAATCAAGTGTACTAGCTAAAACTATCATTATTATAAGAACTATTTTGAAAAAATAAATAAATATAATAAACAAAGTGGATTGAGGTCTTATATTGGTTAGAACTGCCATTATTACAATAATCACTTTAGAAAAAATGAATAAATATAATAGACAAAGTGGATTGGGATTTTATATTTAAAATCAAAATAAAAGTCAAACAAGCTATTATATTAAGGATTGCAGGTAATAGTTTATAATTTAAGTCTAACTTAAACTAAAGTAATTAAGCTTTGATTATATTGAATTTGGTTGATATGGAGAGGAAAAAGAACAATGAGATTACAGAGTTAATAATGAAAGAGTATGGTTTTATATAGTATTGATGAGTTGAGAATATAATACAAAAGTTTGACCAGGCTCTTGACCCTTGAAGAGGAAGGAACGAGTGAAAGACGGAGAGGGATGCAGTTAAAGAAAGCTTTGTGTTGGTATCGTCGGACCCTTAAATGGAAACGCTTTATTAAGCTTTAAAGCCTTTTTCTTCTTCTTTCACACTTTGCCATTCAACACAAAGCTGCCGACACAATTTTACAATGGTCGTTAAGGTATATGATTCTGCCACCCACTCTTATTTTCTTCCAATATATATCAAATTATAATAGTAGTATTTTTTCCAAAGTAAGGAATTTATTTTTGAATACTTATATTTTCAAAGGAAGTAAAATGAGTAAGAAAGTTACGTTACTAAATATATAACTTATAGCATAAAAAAACTAACTATATTGAAATAAAATGTCATTATTCTTATTTTCTAACTATCTTACATATTCTCCCCCTTCCATAGAAGCAAGAGAACATATAATAAAAGCTACCAAAAAATTTTATTGAAAAATTAAGGTGCAGATTATTTTGAACACTAAATTTATATAGAATTATAAATTGATATGTAATGAAAGTTTAGTTTATTATTGAGTATTTGAACACTTTAAATGATAAAATATCATGAATCATGTTATGTAGTATCAGATTAACGTCTTGTCTCGAAATAACTAGTGTGGATTCAAATGATTGCAGCAACATAACTGCATGAAAAATTGAGTTCTTGATATAGGTAAAAGGAATGGAAGGTTGTGACGCGGATAGATATATGGATTAGAGATTATTATGACAATTTAAACACGAAACTTAGATTTAAATTATATGAACATAAATGATTTTTGGAAAAAAAGATATATTTTTCATTACAGATTCCACAAAACTTGAATTTTTTATTAAAATAAGTGTGGATGAGTGTTGAAGTTGTTAGAAGAATATATCATTTTCTTGTGGTGGGTACATAGTATACATCATGTAAAGCATGAAATTATATGAACCAAAGTTTGTGGACAATATAATGGGTACATGTCCCCATTTTCTGAACTACTTTAATTTGTTATTCATTATGAAAAGCATGCTCCTAATAATTGTATTATCTGTTAAATAAATGTGCACTGATGGGCTCCTGTGTTAATCACCATTTCCCACTTAGCCCCCCAAAAAAGTAAAAGACGACAAGAAACAAAACCCACTGAAAAAAGGGTATAAATTTAACAATTAAATACTTTGCAGCATCATATAAAATCTCTAGTGCATCATTAGCTGTTCATAAATTATGCCACCTATAGTTACAGTCTCTTTTATCTGATTAATATAATTATTTGGTATTTGATATTATGATGCGAGAACTGTCAAGTCATTTTCTTTAATTTGGACTAAGTATGATAAATACATATATTCAATATGATTTTTTTTAATTTATAATGTTTGAATTCTTGAACTTTATTTAAAAGAGATGGAATATTTTTAATTTATTATTCAATCTAACTATTCTCAATAGAATCCTCTGAGTTTTGCCAAGCTTATTTAAGGGGTGTTTGGATGATTGCCCAAACCATGGTTTGGAAAAAAATTATCCAAACACCCATCAATTTTTTGAAACCATAGTTTTATGACAAAACCATGGTTTGCCTATCAAAACCAAGGTTTTGTAATAAGCAAAAAATTTTTGCTTTTTGAGTGGTTCTCCCCCCACTCCCTACGGTAATTTTTTTTTGTTGAAAACAATTATTTATTTTTTTAAAAACATAATCTTATATTTTATAATTATATATACACATATTAACAATTACTATATCCTGTCTTTAATATAAGACCTCATTTGACTTTTATTTGGTCCTTAATATAAAACCCTAATCTATTTTATTTCTCATATTTGTCTATCGTTTTTCAAGTTATAACCAATAAACTTGATTAATAAGGATATTGTAGAAAAGGCAACACTTGTTTATTACAAATAATTAACTTAAATTATTTTTTTAATATACTCAAATTAGTCAACTAATTCTTACATTTAGAACTGGATATAGTAATTAATATATGTTTTTATATATTGTTTATTATGTTGGCAAAAAAAATTAATAAATTTATTATTCCGGTCTTTAATGTAGGACCTAATTGGAGAGTTAATATTGGTTTTAAATGTAAGATTATTATTCTGGTCATTAATATAAAACCTAATTGGAGAGTTAATATGTAGACAAGGTCTTAATACCTTCATTAATAGAATCTTTATCTCACATAACTCGGCTTCGTGACTCCATGAGAGATCAAATTGTTCACTATATATAAGAATAATCATGTCCTTTTTATTTTCTTTATTAATATATATACACATTAATTTTTTATTATTTATATTATTTATGTCTTATTTATTATGTTGCCAAAATATATATTATTAACAAATTTATTACTTTAAATAAACATATATTATGAAATATATCTTACATGTAATTATCATTTAAACTTATATCCTTTTTAGTAATTTCTACATATCAAAAAGCACTTTTGACAATAATTATCCAAACACTCTCACTTTATCAGAATCACTTTTTCAGAAAATCCATTCTCTCCAAAAACTATTCTCCAGAAGCTATCTTCCAAACCATGATTTTGCCTCATCCAAACACCCCCTTAATTTCGTCAGTTGATGCAGTAATATACAACAAAAGCTAACCATCATTGGAATGATATAATAAGTCGTCCTCTCCCAAGTAACAATCAAGTTTTCTTTTGAAAAATTTGCAAAGCTCCAAATTGAAGAGTCTAAAGCGCTCATAGGTTTGGACCAATATCTGGCCTATATAGTAATACTCTCCACGTAATTGTTCAACCCGTGAGAGCCGGTCTGGCTTGAAACGAATCTAAAAACCAAAAAGTTTTAATAATTTTAAAATAAATGGCAATTTGGCGTTGTAACAAACCAGAGAAAAAAGTTGAGGAGGTAAGGCAGCAAAGTATACAAGAGGGGGGCCAGTCTCTAAAGGGTCGTCTCAATGATAGCAAGAAAGTGAAGGCTTGACTATTCCTACTTCCTAGGACTCTCTTCCAAACAAAAGGAAAAAGACAAAATAAAATAAAGAGGAAGAAGAAGAAGAAGAAGATAGAGAGAATAGGGTTGGGTTAAGAGATAAAAAAATAAAAGCATGCGGTTGAAGAGAGAGACCCAGAGGGACAGAGAGAGCAGTGCAATAATTGAAGCTCATCTATTTTCTTGGTTGGTCATCATTTCTGGTTATCATAGATTGGTGTACTTGCAGACACAACATGTTCATCTTCTGCAACTATTTCAAGTAATTTAGGGGTTTAATTTCCTCTCAACCGTTGTGCTTCTTATCATTCATGACTCAGGGTCCCACTAAAAACCTTCTATTGCTTTCTCATTCTTCCAAAGTCTTCATTTATCTCAAAAGGCCAAGACTTCATTTAATTTTCACCGTTTTAAAGTGAGAATGGTTTGCTAATGGCCTTGTAATATCATTACAGCATATAAATTTTCGTCATTTCAGTGACGTCCTACTGCTTCGCCCTCGGTTGGACAGATCCTAGCTTCTGTCACGCATGCCTACTATGAGTTGGCATGTTTTCTTCCTCCCTAGTTCCCACCGTTAAGAGGATTTGGATCTACAATTCATTCGGCGCCTTTAAGCCCAATAACTAATATTGGGCTTGGGGAAGGCCCATTCTAAAGTTTGATTCTTTTGAAAAAAGTTCTTGAAGCCTTCCGTCCGGTTCTTTGTTGTTTTTCTTGCTACGTTAGCCGTGACAGCTCCCCGCCAGTTCTCCATACATTTTCCCCACAACTTGATGGGTCGATGTGTCCGCCAACATTGTTCGTTTCCCTCTCATTTTCTGAAGCTGTTTTATCTGAGCCAATATATTATTAAATATTAATATAAAAATTAGTTTACCTTTTAATTTAATATTAAATATAAAATGTTAATATACTTTATCTTTCATATTTATTTATCATTTTTAAAGTTTTCATTGTAATAGTTGTTTATATTAAATATTTTATCAAATGGTAGTTATAACTAATACACATGATTAGTAAAGATATTCTAAGAGAGACGACACCTTTTTTAAATGAAAATGAGATAACACCTATTTATTATAAATAATTAATTTAATAAATTTTTTTAATTCACTTAAATTAATCAATTCATCCTTATATTAAGAATTGGAAATGGTATAGCGAATTTGTTAAGAAACTTTGAGTCTGTTTGGGATAAATTAGAAATAAGAAAGGAAATAAAAATTATGAAAACTTTCTCGGTAAACACGGAATGTTTTCCATTAACAATTTGTTATTTAATTAAACATAACAAAAGTACTTTCTCTCTTTTTTTCTCTCTTCCTCACATCTTGCGATCCAACAAACCCAGCCTTCAGAAAATGGCAGAGAGAAAACTAAATCTCGGTGGGAAACATGGTCACGTACATTATGCATCTGTACTGTGCTCAGCAGCAGAAGCATTAACGCATATTCAATGCATATTCCCAACAATTTTAAGACATTTATTTTCTTAAATATTTTTTAGTAAATTATAAATAGTGTAATTAGCCGAATATCTTTAAAATACAGCTCAAAAACCAAATTAAATAATTAATAATTACCCCTTTTAATCATACTTTTATTTTATACATTTTAACTAAAAATGTATAAATTAGTATAAGGAAGCTATAAATTATAATATCCGTACGTATGAAGACTCCAAATTTTTTATATTTTTATGTCATGGTCTTGTGGCCATATATTAGTATTGACGTCATTTCAAACTGTGCATAAGTAAATACTTTAATGTGCGTCTTTGCCATGGGAATAAAAGTCCACCGTGCGTAACCACAACGTGTCAAAACCGGGGCCAATGTTCTCAAATATCCTCTTCAGACCATCTTCCCCCGAGAAGAGGTGAGCAAGTGGACAAGCCTCGCAGAACTCAACCCCATGAACGCCAGAGTTCTGCTCTCCCCTTATCCTCTCGCTCCCAAGACTCCTTCCTCTCCTCTCTCCGTCTCCAGAAAGCCCTTTGCATCTGATGTGAAGCACATAACCGCCCATCCCTCCTTGCTATGGCTGCGCTTACGTTCGCATGCACCTCGCTTTCACGTCTCCGTCCAGAATTCCGGCGAGAGAGGAGCTGGGAAAGTCTGGGAAGATGTGAAATCCGAGCCGTACGATGTCCCGGAGTCCGTACCGGAACCGGTGAAGTTCGGGGATGTAGTGGGCAACGTTATCGGTGAGAAGGTGGAATTGGATAGTGTGCGCCCATGGTGGAAAGAATTCCCCAAGAGATGGGTCATTGTGCTTCTGTGCTTTTCTGCGTTTATTCTCTGCAATATGGACAGAGTAAGCTTCTCTTACCTGTTTTGAGGCGTATGTGGTACTATTAATGGTTTGGTTGTTTGCTGTTTTTGCAATTAAGAAATGCCGCAATTATCGCTGTGTATTTTTCGTGTGAGAAGCTAAGTAGTGTAACTGCATAATTGGTCGCTTTTACTTGCTAAAGTTGAACACCATGATTTGGGTTTTTGAAGCGATGGAAACCTAGTTTTCTATTTCTGTGATGGCATTTAAAGATAAAGCGAATGCGTAGGTTTGAAAAACTTGATCTCAATTGCTGATACCTACAGGCGACTATTTTATCACGTAGAAAGGGAAAAATAAATAATTTTCATTATTCAAGGCTTGATCCAGTAGTCGCATAGCCCCTTCCTTGCATGCCATTGGAAGGCCTCAATTTTTCAGTTTGTTCATACTCTTAATAAATCCATCTGTTTCACACTTTCAGGTGAACATGAGCATTGCCATACTTCCAATGGCAGCTGAGTACAAATGGAACACCGCCACTGTTGGCTTAATACAGTCTTCTTTTTTCTGGGGATACATGCTTACTCAGGTAAAAGTTAATGTTGATGGACTTAAGTTTAATTAGTTATTTTTCTTACTTGTGTATATACGAATATGAACTTAAAAGTTCATGACTCTGAATCATAGACATTGGTTGCAGATTGCTGGTGGAATATGGGCAGACACAATTGGGGGGAAGCCAGTATTGGGATTTGGCGTAGTTTGGTGGTCTATTGCCACCGCTCTAACTCCTGTTGCTGCAAAACTTGGGTTGCCCTTTCTACTCGTTGTCCGGGCATTCATGGGTATTGGTGAGGTGGGTATTGTTGATGAGATTGTAAAGAGTTTGCTTCGCGTTCTACTTGTAGGAAAAGCTTCAAACAGCAAAGTTCCGCCATATATTTTTTTCATAATTAAGAAAGAAATGTTTCATCGTTGTAATTTATGGTGTTCATGGTTCTAGCAGTGATTTGATTTATGCGCATGTAGCTTACTTCTTTTGCTTGTTTCAGGGTGTAGCTATGCCGGCCATGAATAATATCATGTCAAAATGGATTCCTGTAGCAGAGAGAAGTAGATCATTATCACTGGTATACAGTGGCATGTACCTTGGATCAGTCACTGGACTAGCCTTTTCACCCATGCTAATTCATCAGTTTGGATGGCCGTCAGTATTTTACTCCTTTGGTTCATTAGGCGCGATCTGGTTCTCTGTTTGGCTTAGTAAGGTAAGATTCACTCATGCTAAGTTATTTACTTTCATCGGTTTGTCCTTTTTGAATTTGAAATATCCATATGCATGTATTCTTAGGAATTCTTTTATCACTCAATTTCTTCTACCTCACTGCTATCTATCTGCTTTATTTATTTGTTTGTTTTTAAGCCCAATCCTATTAGCATTTTTATTTGCTCTGCATATCTTTCCTGTTCATTTGGGAGCTGCTGCTGCAGGCACACAGTTCACCTCTTGATGATCCTGACCTGCGGACTGAAGAAAAGAAGTTAATTGTCACAAACAGCTTTTCCAAGAAACCTGTGAAAACTATACCTTGGAGATTAATTTTGTCAAAAGCACCTGTTTGGGCTCTAATAGTGTCTCATTTCTGTCACAACTGGGGAACATTTATTCTTCTTACCTGGATGCCAACATACTACAACCAAGTAAGTCTTTCTAGTAACCTTACGTCTTGCCAAGCCTCAATTCTTTGCTCTCATTATTTTATGGATTTTAGCTGACTATCATAATGTAAATATCTTGATGCATGATGTTCTTGGTAACACAAATGTTAACATCTAATTTAACCGAAAGCGTATTTTTCTCTGTCATAATAGGTCCTGAAGTTCAATCTTACAGAATCTGGTCTATTTTGCGTTTTACCGTGGCTTACAATGGCACTTGCTGCAAATCTTGGGGGTTGGATTGCAGACACTCTCGTAAGCAAGGGTTTATCAGTTACAAGGGTTCGGAAGGTATCAATTTCATCTTGTTCTTATTTTTCTGGTCGCTTCCTCTTGAGAACATAATATTATCGATATATTCCCTCCTAGTTTCACTGTGCCTGAAGAGTTTTGGACCTGTATCCTATTCTCAATTCAAATATCACGTTTTTTTTTTTTCCAAGGGAAAAAAAAAACTGAACATCTATCTCTTTGCCTGTCAGTCTTAAGTCATTTTTTCAACATGCAACATATTCATCAGTCAAGAGATTGAGATTTTTATAAAATCTTTTAGTTCTGTCCTCTTTTTCTCCTTTTTCTGTAGTTTTTTTCCTGTGCTCTATATGAATTAAGTTCTACAAAGTTCTGACAGTATACTTTTTATTTTTGGTAGATAATGCAAACAATTGGATTTCTTGGCCCTGCTTTCTTCTTAACTCAGCTGAGCCGGATAACTTCTCCTGCAATGGCTGTTTTGTGTATGACATGCAGTCAGGTTTGCATCTTGATTTGTTATGATATTTACTTTTTGCCTGCTTTGGTTTTGGAAATCTCTGAATAACATCGATTTTTAATCTTCTATTTTTCTGTGTGAATCTAACAATTTCTCTGGATAGAAAGTTCTTCTCATCTGAATATCTCACATATAAGTGCCAATCAAGGAATTTTATCTTGGTTTCTAGTTCATAATGCATGGCAATGCAAATATGGCAGCTTTGGAAAGTTAAATTTTTTTGCAATTAGGTTTGAGAACTTTTTAAGGAAGTTTAATGATTTGCTATTTTGCTTACTTTTCTTTCCCATTTTATATTTTTTTTTGGGGTCAAAATTGCTGTGAAATTAAACCTTAGCTGAACTGAATAGGTTTGCCTTAACTGTTCAACATTTGAGATTCAACATTACTAATTTGATTCCTATTCTCTCTAAATAGGCAACTGATGCATTCTCTCAGTCCGGTTTATATTCCAACCATCAAGATATAGCCCCGCGATATTCAGTAAGTCGATTTATTGTGCCTAATTATTTCTGCAGCATGTAACTTATGTTTGATCTGGGGAACGATTGGCACGGACTTATCTTTTTGTGCATGCTAATGTATGTCCATCTATGTTCGGCATCCTTCCATTAATTAGTTACACGATTATGTTGTTTTAGAAAGAGAAGGATAAGATTTTGATTAAATTTCCTACTTTCCTTGTCAGGGCATATTGCTTGGTCTATCTAATACTGCTGGAGTACTGGCTGGTGTTTTGGGAACAGCTGCTACAGGATTTATTCTCCAGCGTGGTAAGTACTTCATACCATCTAATCCTAAGCTACTGAAGAAATCCGACCATTTTGATGCTGTGATACTTTGGTGCAAAAGCTCATGGTCTTGAATTATGATGGATTAGTACTATATTTTTGAATTTTTTACGTACATGTTTTTTTAGCTCGAAGGAATATAGTAAGTACATTTATCTTTATCATCTTGAACTATTATCAGGTTCCTGGGCCGATGTATTCAAGGTGTCAGTTGTGCTGTACTTGGTTGGAACTGTGGTGTGGAACCTTTTCTCAACTGGTGAAAAGATCTTGGATTAACTTGAAGTGTCCGACTGATATTGCTACATGGTAACTGTGGATGAGATAAAAACTAAATTCCCACGCAAGCGAGGAATGAAACAACTACAAGTATAAAATGGTTGAAGTGGAAGCAACCTGTCTTACTGAGAATTCATGCCTGACAAATCGAGCATTGAGGTAATTTTTGGAAAGCGGTTAGTTTAATTTTCCAAGCACTTGAAAACTTATTTATAAGATATTTGAGCATCACACGTTTGATTTTTTTTTTTTAAACAATAATATTAGGACATAGATATTTTTGGTTTTTTTTTTTTTGGGCACATTTCATGCTCAACTTTTTTAGTTTACAAGTATTTGGAAAGCCAGAATATTTACGTACCAAGGTGAATTAGAAAGTGAAGGTTCTCTTTTGCTCTTGGGAGATGAATTGGCATCATTTGAAGTATAAACCCTGGTGTTCTACCAGGGAATAGACTTTAGATTATAGAACTATTTTCCTCTTCCTCTATTGTTCTTCCCTTTTTGTGTGGGAAGATTGTGTTAGTTGGGTGAGTTAACAACACACATGTAAATATAATATTCAACGAAACAAAATCAATTTTTGCGACGAAGCGGCAAACTACTCTATGATGTAATATTATTCATCAAGCTTCTCCCGCCTCCTCTTTCATTTCCTATCTGTCTGTCTTCTTTCTTTGGTCAAATTAGTTGGTGACATTACTGTTGCGGACTCTGTTGTGTTATGATAATGGTCCTTTTTCTTTTGAAATGGTCACCTGCTCATAGCATTTACTTGCGTAATTAAACGCTTTGGTCCCAAAGTGGAAAAAATGTTGACAGGTTACTGTGGATAATGTTTTATGGTTTGTGTTTGTCATCAAATTTACAAAAATGCAAGTTGCCTAAGTGGCGCAGTAACATGTCATTCTTGTATGGTACAAGCCCAGCGCTGACGTGGTTGCGTTTAATTGGATCAAAGCGGGAAAAAAAATTACTACTTGAGTGTTTGGATTACTTAAAAAGTATTTTTCAAAAATATTTTTTTATAAGTTGGGGTAAATTTGTTCACATATTTATTTTGTATATTATAAAAATATTTTTAAAATTATGGTTTTGTATCTATCTAAATATCCTCTTAAACATAAGATCTTATTTGTAGTTTTTATCAATGAGATCTTATAATTAGGATTGGATATAGTATAAGTACTACTTCCGGTTCTTAATATAAGATCTTATTTGACTTTTATTTTGTTTCTAATTGTAAGATTCCGATCCACTTTGTCTTTTATATGTGTATTTTTTTTCAACATAGTCCTTCTAATAATAGTAGTTTTAACCAATAAACTTGATTAATAAGGATATTTTAAGAAAGACAATACTTATTTATTACAAATAATTAACTTAACTTATTTTCTTAATCTCCTCGAATTAATCAACTAACACTTATAATTAAGATTGGAGATAATAATTTAGAAATTTCAAGGGGAAATTTTCCATCAAGGTATCTGAAAGGAGTTAGTGGCTTGTAGATCACTAGAATAACCATAACAGAACGGAAAGCAACATGTGAATAATGAACTCAAGAGAAAAGGTATAACTTCTTCATATAATATTTATTAATTGACAAACAATAAGAATATGAAAACCCACATCTTGGGATATGGAGCAACATAAACAAGTACACCGCCTTTCCAATTTAGTTGATCGACTGACACTCACATTTTACCCACCCCGTCCCGACAGACTCGTTACTAATTTAATAAATTTATGAAAAAACAATAATTAGGAACAGTAATTCACATATACACCCTCATATGTATTAATGTATAGTACTAAATGACAATATTACCCCTGTATTCTGTTTCCGTGTCGTTCTTGGCAATAACGAGAAATACCCCGCGCCTAGGCTGCTCCTTGGAGCTTACGTGGATGCAAGAACACATGGAGCCCATTCTTCATGAACAGAGTGAGTGATATCTTCTGCTCCACTCGGTGATCGGGAACCGGAGCTAGCCGGTAACGCAACAGTACCGCCGCCGCCACTGACTTCATTTGCAGGTAAGCCAGATCTTTCCCTAAGCAGGTTCTCGGTCCGGCGTTAAAGGCAACGAACTTAAACCCATCCTTGGGCGGTTCGAACCGGTCTCCCTCAACTGACAGCCACCTCTCTGGTTTGAACTCCATGCAATCGTCCCCCCAAATCTCCTTCATCCTCCCCACCGAGTATATTGAATACGTCACCGTCGATCCTGCTGGCACGAACGTTCCGTCAGGCAGCACGTCGTCGGCGATGGCGTACTTTAGGTCCTGCGGCACTGACGGGTACAGACGGAGCGTCTCAGCCAGTGCAGCCTTCAGATAAACCAACCGGTCCGCTTCGTCAAAGTCCAGGGCCTCCTCGGTCCATTTCCGATGATCTACCCCGCGAGTCTCCCGTAGCACCTTGGAGATCTCGTCGATGATCTTGTCTTCTACGCGAGGATGGTTCATGATGAGCCAGAAGAACCAGCTGAGAGCCACTGAGGACGTGTCCCTTCCGGCGAGTACGAAATTCAGAGCAATTCGCTGGAGTACTGGAGTCGGAATGGGGTTTCCATTGGCGTCGAGCTTCTTCATGAACCTCGAGAGCAGATCATCGGATGGAGCTTCCTTGCGAGCCAAGACGGCGTCGTTCATGTAACTTTCCACGATTTGTAAGCTCTCTTTCAGTCTCCTCTCATCTCCGATATCTAGAAGTTTCTGTATCCTCCATCGGAGAGCCGGGTATAGGATTCTGCGCATGGTTGCCTCCGTGGCAGTATCAAAAGCCACGGCAAACGGGTTTTCCGGTAATTCTGGAGAGAGAGTTTCAGGATCTTTGCCAAAGGTTAATCCACAAATGTTATCGAAGGTTAAGCGAAGCAGAAGGTCTTGTAAGTCCACTGACATCTTCTCCTTCGTTGCCTTGTCTAGAATACACCATAGCCTGTTCTTGATGGTCCGGTTCACCCAGCGAGCCATGGCTTGCCTTAGGGTTCGGGTCGTGAACTCTAGAGCTGCCGTTTTACGTTGCATGAGCCATGTCTCTCCGTCACTATTGAATATACCTGAAAAAACACAGAGATATCTATAGTACATTCATAATGGATACGAAAACACACGTCATTTACGCAGATTAAATGTACGGGGAAGATGAGCTTTTACTCTTTTCTATTGCATTGATAACCTTTCCATATGTGAGGCCACCATTGATAGACTTATTTCTATTCCATAATATATTGAAGCTCATGTCATGAAACATCAGCAATATAATACCTTGGCCCAGAAGATCATGGAAAGCGGTTTGCCATTTGGGTCCTTTGGGATAGTTACTGAATCGGGTTTTGAGGATATGCTCGATGTTCTTGGGATGACAAGTTACTGTATAGAACCCTTGTCTGTGAGCCAAGAAAGGAATAGGAATAATGCAAGTCTGGTAGGTGGCAGAACCTCCGGTGGCTCGAAGGTTACCGGCGATCCAGTCGTGGACTCGGCTTCGGTTCTTGAGAAGAAGAGGGAGGCTTCCCACAAAAGGCCAGGCCTTGGGACCTGTTAAGCTTCGAGCCAACACAAGGTAGAACCAGAGGACATAGGCAGAGAGAGCAGCTGCGAGAGTGATGGCAAGAGGAAGGGTCTCCATATGTGTTTGTGACTATTTTGAGAGATCAATGGTTTATTGGAACTGAAAAGAGGAGGAGGGTGTTTATATATATTTGTATAGGATGCGGAAAGGAGAAGATTTAGGAGAGAGTTGGTTGAGAAATTTTTTTGCTTTCGCAGAGTCTCTGTTAGGTTGATATTGGAACTGTGTGAGAGAAACAAGAAAACATATGCTTTATACTCTTAATAATCTGTGAGAGATTTTCATTTTTCTTTCTGTTTTAGATTTTCTTGTTGACTAATGATTCAATCATTTTCAGCTTTTTGTTGCCCGATGAGAGTGACATATCGATCGAAAATGAAGTTATATATATATATATATATATATATATATATGTATATGGTTATTCTGAATGCATGCTGAATGGCTTCTTGCTTGTTACTCTATTATTTGACTAATGGGTAGAGGAGAAAATAATACGTGACAGAAGTTGCATAAAATTTTTTTAATTAAATTATGATATTTAATTAAGAAAGAAATTTTCTTTTGGAAGAGCCCATCATAACACATGCTCAGTTGGACACAATTTAACAAGCTCATTTCATTTTCTTAGATTGTTTAAAACGAATCGGATTTAATTTGTAAAAATGACGTCATATATGTTGTTTGAGTAAATCCCATTAACGCTGCTACAATTGATTTATCCTATATGCATTAGCATTTTTAATTCACTCTACAATACATAAAAAGAGAGGGGAAAAAATTACTTATATGATACACATGCTGATGTTTGAAAACGTGTCATGTTTTTTCTCTTATTGATATTCTTGGTGGAGGGCAAGCACACAGTGGGTGTGTGGAGTGCAAGAGACAGGAAAGGAGTAGTTAAAGATGGTTTACCCGAAGTGGGAAAATGGGATTGCTGCAGGATTTAGACCAGAAACAAAATTAATTAATAAACAAAAAATAAACGAAACAAAGAAATAGATATTCATATATCTGTGGATCATAGATATCCTCATAAGAATCAAGAATTGAAAATACCTAAAGGGTTTACTAAACCAGAAACTTGTGTGGGAAGGGTACCGAAACGTTGACGCCAAGAAAGCCACGGAATTGGGAAAAAACACCCAACGCCCTCCTTTTGGCCCTTTCTGAGGTAACTAACCCAACCCCGCACTTATTAATTATTTCTTACTGGTTTGTGTCAATTAATTAATGCCGAAATTAGATGGACTTCTGCCACTTCTTACACGTAGATCCATTCAAATGACAACTAGTTTTGGTTTGGTAATGGTATATAGAATGAAAATAAAAAAATAAAATTATTTTAAAAATAGATAAGAATAACACCGTTTTAAATAATAATAATAAAGATATAATACATATAAAAATATTATTGTCATTTTTATTTCGTAATGACAGATAATGTTTAGATGCAAGTGTGCATATTGAATAAAAAAGCAAAAAATATTAAAATAATTATAAAATCCTGTGGAATTCTTTTCTTAAATCAAATAATGTAGCTGATCTTCATCCCCAAAACAAACGGCAATATTAATTCTCCGAGACTTCAAATTGAGCTCTTCATTTCATTCATCACATTAAATTGAATTAATATTTTATATTATACGCTAATATTTTGAGACAAATTGTTGTGCCCCTAAAGTTATATAAAAATATTAATTATACATATGTATTTAAATATTAAGAAAATTCAGGCCAGCTTTGAATTTTTCAAAATCATGAACAGCTCAAAAGGCATGAAAGCCAATAGTTTTGGTGAAATACCGACCAAAATTTTGGACCCAAATTTGTGGTGTCTACTGGCTCAGTTTGATGGGCTAAACTGTGATGGCTTATTATTCAAGTCACCTTCAGCTGGTAAAATCCATTAACATACACTTGTGTGAGTTTATTGATGTAATTGGACGACGTGTTAATTTACAAACGAATGTTCAAAACCCTGTTAAAAAACGTGCTTATATTTAATGTTGGGAGAATTACAATCAAGTCTCATAGAAGAGAAATAATTACCAAAAGGTCACAATAATAACCTTAACAGCCTATAATAATAAGTCCTATAGTAAGAATGATAACCTCTGACTTATTTTTTAATTGTTTTCTTCGCTTGAGATCTTATTATAATTCTCTTTTTAATATTTTTTTGAGCAAAATTCTCTTTTTAATATTTAATAGTACTGATTTCAATAACAGAATACGCTAGTTTAAAAGGAGTATTTTATTTTTATACATTTATAATTTTTTAAAAAAATATAAAAAATAAAAAACTAATTTAAGTGTGTCTTGAGGCATGAATTAAGTCTGGGGGACGCAGAATTTTTTTTTTTCGTGATAGATAAATATCCGTCAAATTTTCAATAAGTTTATATCGAAGAATTTTTTTATGAGGAATTTGATTTTTATCACCCACAGCCAGAGGAGACCACAATTTTGAGGTGCCAAAAAATTAAAATAAGGAACAATAAAGATAAGACATCTCGCAGGGAGAGCTCGTGGTGGCCACACACCCAATCCGAGGGCTCACATTGTTTTTGGGTAACAATCCAAGGGTTCACATTGTCTGGACAGAAATAGCCACAAAGAACCACAATAACACCACGCACGACCCTCACCACTGAAATCACACCATTTCCATTTCCAATCTCCACAACTCAGAAACACACAAAAAAAAATGGCTTCTGTGATTATGTCGTTCGCTCCTCCAACCACAAGAGTCTTCGCCGCGACGGCAGCAAAGGGCGCCGGAGGAAGCAAGGAGGAGAAAGGCTTTCTGGATTGGATTCTTGGAGGGTTGCAGAAGGAAGATCAGTTCTACGAGACCGATCCTATCCTGCAGAAAGTGGAGGACAAGGCCGGCGACGGAAGAGGCACGGCCAGCGGAAGAGGAACCACCGGTGGCCGGAAGAACTCCGTGGCGGTGCCACAGAAGAAGAAGAATGGTGGATTCGGAGGGCTTTTTGCCAAGAATTGAAACATACTCTCGCAAGTACCTCATTCACATAATACATAAAAGCATGCATTGTTGATTGCTGTTCCGTGTTAGTATTTTGCTTCGATCTTTTGATTATAAAGGAACCCTAATTTGTAGCTACTGTTCTCTGCAATTGTGATTCGTATTACACACTGCTAAATGCTCTGCTCATCAATCACAATGTAAATTATGAGTCGCGTTTTCGGAATGGTGTTCGGATTCATCACTCCTTGACTCTATTCTGCATATACTGATATACTCTTCTTCTGCCTTGTGGCTGGTATTAATTTATTTTTTAAAAAAAATATTGAACTTTCACCAAAATATATATATATATATATATTGAACTTGTGAAGTTTTCATTTCTTTATGCGGATTTTCTTTTTTTCTTTTTTAAATTATACTTTACAATGAGGTTCAGTATTATGGCAAAACCTTATTATCCACTTAATTTTATGTACTGTAAGTATGTGCTGGGTTCTGATTAAATAAAGACGAGTGGAATTTTTAACTATATTATTTATTTTATAATAAATTTCCTATTTGTTAATATTGTTAACACTTTAAAATTCAAGTGTTATAATTTGTTTGGATAGAAGCATATAAGTTAAGTATCTAAGTCTTCTATTTAGTTTTCTCTTCAGCCAAATTGCCAGACTTTTTTAATATTTTGAATAATGGATAAATTCTGTTTTGCCTTTAAAATTTAATAAACTACTCTTGAATTTTTAAATCTGTGCATATACCGTTAATTTTATTATTGCGGATTAAAAAGATGTTCTGAAAATTTTGCACCTATACGATCCAGCCTGGAATCTTATGTGATTTTTGAAATTTAGTTAATATGCAAAAAAAAAGAAGGTATTATATTCCTGTAGTTTGATATTGGAGGAGTTGATATTACCAAGAGATCTGAAAAAAGATATCTATCTTTGTCGGTCTAAAAGTTTAGGTAAACTGTTTCCCTCCACTCAACAAAAAAGTTTAGTTTAAGAAAATTTTATAACAAATTTTTACATCAGAGAGATTATTTTGACATGATTGATTGTATGCTATCTTCTTCTGTCTCTCTCGTGTAAAAGTATAACCTGTAAGGAATTGGTTTAATTTTAAATATAAGATTTTAATTTATTTTGTTTTTTATATATATAATTTTTTTTCCTAAATCATATATCCCTATTAATTGTACATGTTTAATAAATTCGTATTTAGATGTAGTTTTAATGCAAATTATTTAAAAAGGTATTTTAAAAAATTTAATCTATATTTTTAATAAATAAATAGTTTAATTAATTTTTTAATCTATCCAAATTAATTAAATTACATGTTATATTAAAGACATGAGGCAGGATAATTTAGTCGTTATTTAATGCAAACCCACTTCTCAAATTGGGTCCATCTCTCAGTTTTATATGATTGGATGTTTATCCTAAACTGGGGCCACGCCTTATTATGTTGTCTAATAATTGGGCCGCTGTGTCCATAGACTGGGTCTTGGCTAATGAGTAGTGAGCCACATTTTTCATAGTCCATAAATAATATGATTGGTTAAAATTTTTACACTTCGTATTGACATTCAGAGCTGAACCTTAAAAGTAGAAAATAATCGCCAAAGAGAAACATCCAATTGCATGTGATAACACATAATCATAATGCTGCGGTTAAGTCTGTTCTGTTCTGTTCAACTTTTGCCTTAGAGATCTGATAAGATACAACCAATTTATAAAACGCATCTCACTAATAATATATATATTTTAATTTAAATTGAAGAGAGTGGATTAATGATTTTGAGATCCGTTGGCTATCAGGCCATCACCATTCGAAATTTGAAGGAAAAAGAACAAAAAGGTTAACGATCAAGAAATTAGAGAAAAAAATTGCAGTTATGTGACTTGTCATATACAAATCATCCTCAAGCCAGATTTTATTTTCATGTTTCATAGTACTAAATGTAGTACTTAATTTATTTTATATTTGGGATGGAAGGTAGTACTTAATTTAAACTACAAACTACATCCCGGAGATACTACTTAATTAGCTTATGGGTCCTTGTAATTAACAAACACATTGATTCACTGTGTCAGGTAGTCAGGTACTTCCAACTGGTTATCGATATTATTAATATTTCTGTCTGACAGATTGAAGTTTGCTGTAAGGTACTTTTATTTTGTTTTCCCACTTCTCAATTTCAACTTTTGACTAAAACAAAACTATGTTTTAAAAATACTTTACGGTATATAAAATAAATATGTGAAGGAATTTGTCTCGATTTGCAGAAAAGTGTTTCTGAGAAGTGCTTTTGGGTTACCCAAACACCTTAATATATGTCAATTAACTAGTCCCATAACTTCTATCACTTAATACAATCTCAATTTCAAATTACTGCTGGTATTTTTTATAAGATATTATCTCCGGTCTTAATTATAAGGTTTGTTTATAGACTACAAACGAGGTCTTATAATTAGAACCACAGGTAATATAAATAACCAAATTATGTAAATCAAAATGTTGATGGAAATTATTTAAATACAATAAATATGTAAAAAAATGTAACTTATTTTTTAAAAACACCCTCATTTATGGAGGAAAAAAAATGAGTGAGTAGATAATTAATACAGTAAGATTAACTAACAATTAATGGGGATAAAAATAAAAATTAAAAATTTCAAACAAGCCGTTAGTATCACTTGTTAATAAAATCATATGGTATTTTGTAAGACAGGAGTGGCACAGAGTGAACTTTATTTAGAGGACAAGAGGAGCAGAAGAAGCAGAGTAGGTTGCACCCAACATTTGAATTGAATGACATTAAAAAACAACGTGGTTACTGAATTTTTATCAGTTACCTTTGGGATGCTAAAAGTTTGGGGGAGCCGTTTCAATTTACAATAATTTTAATTAAATTAATCATTGTCTTTGATTTTTTCCCCTTAATGTACCCCTATCCTATTACATAATTACATACTCATCAGTTAAAAAAGTCAGCTTCAGATTCTATACTGTTCAAAGAGTTTCAATCTTCTTCTCTTGTTTAAGATCTCATCCGCCCATTTTATATGTTCTAAGAGAAAGTGGAATGACATTTACATAGAATGGATTTCTGTTTAAAGTTTTGAACAGAACGAGACTGAAACCACCTGGATTCTATAAAATCAAAGTGAGGTAGCCGGAAGGAAGGCAGAAAATGAAAACAAGAAGAAACCCTGATGTGTTGTCTCATAATCCAATTATTTTTTGCTGAAATCGCAAATGCAAACCCTTAGAATCTCAGCAAAGCAGCATCCCAGTAAAAGTAAACTCAGCTTATAGAAGATAAAATAGATCAAGTTAATTTGATCGTTAACGAGTCTAAGAATCTATACTAAACAGAGTAGCCTTCTGGATGGTAGCTTCTAAGCTTGCCGTTTTTGCAGACCTGAACACATTCAAAGGAAGTTTATAATGTTCCCAAAATGGATCATTATTGAGTAGTCAGAGAGTTGGCTGTGGAGTTTGATCTTGAAAAGGAGGAATGAATGAACTCAATACAGTCCTCCACTGCATCAGACCTGTAAGAATCCACAAAGCCTCCATTACCTGTTCTTGAATCTGATCTTCCCAAGGAAGGAGATGGATTTTGTGGCAAGTTACTTCTTCTTGTTCTTCTTCTCGTTCTTCTTCTTCTTCTCTCTTCAGACACAAATCTTATAGCTCTGGCCATTCTCTCTGCAAGATGTTTCAGAAACTCCATAGCTGAAAACTCAGACTTATCTGGGATGAACCCGAAGGTGCAGCTTCTCATGTACCTGCTCGAGGCTGAATTTTTACTTCCAGAAGTGTACTTCTGAGACCATGAGAAGCTTGTTTGGCGATTGAAGGATCCTCTTTGGTTCATTGTGTTGTTACTGCTTAGTGAAACAGAGGAGGAATAGAAGGTGTTTTTATGTCGTGACGTGGTTGTGAACAGAGAAGAAAGTGTAGGTGAGACCCAGAAGCAGAGTTTGGTGGAGGAATATCGCAATTATGCAGTGAGAGGTTCTTTGTTTTAAAAAAAAAAAATTATAATAAAATATTCAAAAGCCTTCATCAAGCCATTTACATTCTTCAGTTCCAAGTGATAAGAAAAAGCGGTCAAAAATTCTACTACCGGATAAAAATCGGGTAAAAAAAATCCACTCTTGTCCATTAGCTGTAAGTTCAATGTTAATTACCTGTGTTTCACAGTCAAATACAATGGAATTTTTTTTTGGAAAGGACAGGGAAGTGGGTTAAGGCGGTGGGAAAAAGAGGTTGGATGGGTAAAAAGGGGAAGGAAGATACAAATGTTTAGTGTAACACTTTTCCATTGTTTGTTTACTTTTCTGATTCATTGCAATGCCACATGCTCACCCTTTTGTGCTTTTGCAGGTAGTGGGAAGAGGCATATTAAGTTAATTACTATCTAAGAAACCCCCCTTTTATTCCATTAATTAAATTTAAAAAAAATGTATGTGAGGGAGATGTGTGTGTGTGTGTGGGTGACCCACTCATAATTCAACAAGGGACCAGAAAACTGCCAATGGTTTCGCCGTTATTTGGAGGAAAGCAAAACCATGAGTACTACTAACTTTTTTTTTTTTTTTGGTGAAAATACTACTGACTACTTTGTTGCAATGATTACTTTATCTTTTTAAATCTCACTTCACATTTTGATTCTTTTGTTTGACATTAAAAGCCCCGGTATCGACTGATATATACTTGGTTCATCATATTAACACATTTTTTTTTTGGTAAATAAGTATATTTTTGCATTTTAACCTCAAAGATATTGTATCGACATCACAAAAACGCATGCAAGTTAGAGAGGAAATGGTATTTATAATAGTGCCTAAGAACCTACTTTTAAGAGAGGAAAAATAGCACGTATACTAATCATATAGATATATAGATTTTCATAGTAATGTACAAATTAAAAGTACATGGTGGGTGCTTTTTAAATTTTAAGATCATAAGAGAGTGGATCTTTAAAGAATCATTATGTATATAAATGTTACTCCTCCGGTCCTTAATATAGGACCAAATTATTGAGTTGGTTTTGATCCCAAATATAAGACCCATTTATCATATTTATTAATTTTTTTAAATTATCTCCATGAATACTTCTTCAAACATAATCAAATAGAAGAAGATGATGATAAAGTATTAAGAAAGATAATTATGGTATTTTAGAAAAAAAACATGTCACATTTCTTATAATTAACTAATTTATCTAACTTCTTTAATCTAATCAAATTAGTTAAATGAGTCTTATATTAAAAACTGAAAAAGTAATTTACAAGTCATTCCAAAATATTTTTATAACAAAAAAAAAAAGGAAAAAGGAGGAAACTCATCTCCCACAACCACCTCGGTACACGATCATGTCATTACAAACTCAGAAAGGTGTAATTCCAAGTGTGAACAAGTTGACATGATAAATCTCACTTAACAATAAACTAAACGTCTTACATTCGCATGTAAATGTGAAATCTAGAAAGATAAAAAGGGCAGTTCAATAAACAAAGTTTCAAGGATTTAAATTTTGATATATAAAAGCAGAATTCTGTCACACAAGATCGATAAAGTTCGATTGCATAGTTATACTTTAAGTGCAGGTAAAAGTTCAATTAAAATTGGGAAGCTTCTTGCACAGCTTTACAGCCATAAAGATAAAAATAGATAAAAACAAGATCCCATATCCAATGAGCTTATTTGCCTAGCCAAAATATTCCATTCAGGGATACAAAACAGATTGTGATTGAATATTACTTAAATATTCTTTTATCAAGTATGTTAGAATTTCAGTACAAGTATTGCTTAATATATTATGTTAGAATCTCATGATTCAGCAAACATAGTAAGATGGCACCAGTTTCAATTTGTTTCAGCGATATAATTTTAATTTGACTGGCAGCGGCACACGTCAATCGAAAAATTCAGCACTTCTGAAATTTGTTGATGTTACGATGTAAGCAGTTTTTTTAAAATAATTTTATGGGGAATTCTACTTCTGAAAACTTTAAACATTCTCATTATTAGATGCATCTTTATGTTGTCACTGCATGCATCTAATAATAAAAATCTTCCAAGAAATAGAAGGCTCCATAGAATTACCCTTCACATAGTAGTTCACCAACTTAAAGTGCCAAGGGACATGAGCCAGATCTCGTTATGTAAAGATTTGGTTCTCTGAAACTTCATGATCGTCATGCAGAATCTGCTTCCCAGAAGTCAGCTAGCTAGCTAGCTCAAACCAGATTACAACGCAAACTCCCTGCACTGCTGCAATGCATACAAAAACGCAGAAAAAAGGAACAATGCACGCTCCCTACGCAGGCTTTACCCTGTTCAGGTTCAAAGGGACTATCTCAGCCCGATCTGCTAGCATCCCAGCTCTTCAAAGCCGGAGCTAATGCAGATGAAGGCACCCCTGGTGCATCTTGGATGTTAATAAGATTTCCCAAAAGATGAAGACCAATCTAAAGGTGGAACTAGTTAAAATGATAGGTTTGTTCATGGAAATTATTGGACACCAGACAGACAGAATAAGGATAGAGTTTAAAAGATTGTCTAACAAACTGAACTTTGCATTCTCCGGCAGCTTGAAACTTGAAAATTATTCTTCACCAATCTGATACGCCTAATATGCAACCAGCTCCAAGTTCCATTTCAAATGTTCGATCAGTCACTCCATTCATATGGGCCTGCATGAGAAGTTTCGTAAGACATTTCCATATCTGCTGATGGGAAACCTTTTGTGCCCTTTTATAGACCATAGTTCATAAACCCAATCCTTAACTATCTCTCATTTTATTTATTACATAACAGGCAGACAAATTTTTTATGCGGCAGAGTAAGGCGTCTGTAGATACTTGGAAACAAATGTCATGAAAATTGAAAAGAAGTCCACCTCATTTCTATTGACATAAGACAGTGAAGAAGCTTCTAAAGATAGGTGTAATTTACAATGCATGCAGGAGTAAAACTTACCCCTCCTTGGAATTTATGTAACTTTCTGGCAGGTAAATTTCTCCACCAGCTTCACCGTGTTGTTCCCCACTGACAGTTTTCTTGGCAGCTTGAAATTCAGCACTCATAGCATCCATCCCATGCTTTAAAGCTTCCTCAACATTCCCATAACCATGTTTCTCAGCATACTTACGCACATCCTCTGTTATCTTCATAGAGCAGAATTTAGGTCCGCACATAGAGCAGAAATGGGCTACCTTGGCACCTTCTGATGGCAGTGTTTCATCATGGAAGGACATAGCAGTCATTGGATCTAATGACAAGGCAAACTGGTCCATCCATCGGAATTCAAATCTAGCCTTGCTTAATGCATCATCCCAGGATTGAGCATGTGGATGACCTTTTGCTAAATCAGCAGCGTGAGCAGATATCTTGTAAGCTATAACTCCTGCCTTCACATCATCCCTATTTGGCAACCCAAGATGTTCTTTTGGAGTCACATAACATAGAAGAGCAGTGCCAAGTGCTCCAATATGGGCAGCACCAATTGCAGAGGTGATGTGATCATAACCAGGAGCTATATCAGTTGTTAAAGGACCAAGAGTGTAAAATGGAGCTTCATTACACCATTCCAGTTGTTTCTGCATGTTTTCAGGAATCTTGTGCATTGGTATATGGCCAGGTCCTTCATTCATCACCTGTTAGAAAATAAAATCGCTCATTTTTGCCAAGGAAGTATTGACAGTAATGGTATTCCTTTAGCTGATGTAAGTAGTGGCTATGGTATAATAAAGATAGGGCGAGCCTGGAGCAAGTTTTCTTATAAATAATGCACCATGTTAAAGTTTGACAGGAAGAGCAACTGGTAGTTTTACTAGCCTTGATAGAAGTACGAAATTCAAGAGCAATTGAAATATCCCCCTCACCAGAGTACTGGTCTATCCAAACCCAAGCGTATAAAACAAATAAGAGCTGTTTAGGTTAGTCCCAAGAAATCCAGCAAGATTTAAACCAAACAAAAGATGAAAAGAAAAGCATTCAACAGTTTTATGTGCATATTATGAGTTCAATTCAAACAGAGATTAAAGACTGTGGTATTTATCTTTCCATATCTTTATCACCAAAATACTATCAAGAAACATAAAAGATCTATCACCTGCACGTCCTTCTCCCATGCTCTACGGGTCAGCTCTCCCTGTGTCAAGAGTTCAGCAAACTGAGCAGTGTCATTTGCATCATAGATGGACCCGGGTCGTAGCCCATCACCTATGGACAAGGCCACATCATACTGATTACAAATGTCAAGGATGTCATCCCAGTGTTCATAAGCAAAATTCTCCTTGTGATAAGCTAAGCACCACTTTGCATGAATGGATCCTCCTCGGGAGACTATTCCAGTCATGCGTTTTGCTGTTAATGGGATATACCTTAGAAGCACTCCTGCATGTATGGTGAAGTAATCAACACCCTGTTCAGCTTGTTCAATCAGGGTATCCCTGAAAACTTCCCAGCTGAGATTTTCAGCAACTCCATTTACTTTTTCAAGTGCTTGATAGATTGGTACAGTCCCAACTGGTACAGAAGAGTTCCGTAGGATCCACTCTCGAGTTTCATGAATGTGGCGACCCGTGGAGAGGTCCATGACTGTATCAGCTCCCCACATAGTTGCCCACTGAACCTTGTAGACTTCCTCTTCTATAGAGCTTGCAACAGCTGAATTTCCAATATTTGCATTTACTTTCACCAAAAAGTTCCTTCCAACTATCATGGGCTCTAGTTCCAGGTGCTTCTTGTTGGAAGGGATGATAGCTCGTCCACGAGCAACTTCTGACCTGACAAACTCTGGGTCAAGCTTCTCACGGGAAGCACAAAATAGCATCTCTTCAGTAATGATTCCCTGCTTAGCATAATACATTTGAGTGAATCTTGGCGCACCTATTTTCTCCCGCCTGTCAACCCAGTCCTTGCGCAACTTAGGGAGCCCTGATCATCAAAACCCACCAGAAAAGAAACCACAAGTCTTTCTTGAGTCTTGGTGTGATAGAAAAGCCAAACTATAGTTTTCGAATTAAATTACTAATCCCATCATTCACTTCTGTCTTTTACGAAAATAGTAATGGAAGTTAGAAAGTCTAGATGATAAAAGAAATTAAAAAGAAAATGCTTATTTGACTATCTTTCATTTGCAACACTATATTTCGATGTGATTTTATATGAATGCATGAGCATGCCCAGTGCCACGTCCGAGAAATGAGAGCCTTGGTTAGTTTAGTACATAATAAACACCCAGTGGAGAAAATGAGAAGCCCTAAACTACACTAAAACTACACTAAAACCTCATACTAGACTACCATTTAAAAAGGAAAAGGAAAAAAAGCTCAGGTACAAGATTGCATACAAGCCACTTATAGCATCTTAGTAAATTCATTGATAAATGATTGCCATATGGAAGAGGACTGGAAGAGCCAATTAATTACAAGTTTAAGCTAGTTGCAAGAATTCTTCCGAAACAGTTTGACACACCTCAGAAAGGAAACGAACAGAACAAGTGATAGAATGGAAACAAAAATAATAATTTAGCTGTAGTGCCTCATTAATAAAGATAGCATGAAATGCAAAAAATAAAAAGATCAAGATAATCAGGAAATATTGATAGACAAAGACAAAGAATAAATGCCGGTTGATTCACCCAAAAAACAATCAGTCTTGATTCCTTATGAGCCCAAGTTACCCAACACTAGTCACAAGAAATTGTAATATAGGGAATTTATAGAATTAAGCTTGATCAGCATACCAATCCTTGGGCTTATATTTTGAGGGCCACTAGTATCATAGGCGTCGAAGTGCGGTTCATCCCCGGACAGGTGAACTCGTCTGAAGGGAACTTTGAGCACATGACCGGTTTCTTCATGTATAACTTCCCTAAAACATCATAATATAAAACCCTGAGTCATTTGAAGACATCTTATATGTATTATCTGAATACAACTATGAAAAATTGAAAAGCCATGACAGCTGGAAATAAAACCAAATAATTGTATAAAATAATGAGAGACACATGCAAGGCATACTTGTGTTCTTTTGTGCTTTTTGGAAAGCATTGTTCAAAGGAAGGAAGAGGCAGAAAATCTGGAGAAGCAGGGTCAACAGTGTTCTTCTTTTGTCTGCTTCTGTCTGAATTAGTAGTTGGAGGATCAAATGTCAATGTAGCTCTAGGGCCCAAGGCCATGGAAAATGGGACAAGTTCTTTCTTCCAACTACTGGAAACGCGCCCAGTAACATCAAATCCAGGCAAGAATGCAGTACCGGCAAGCTTTGGTTGAGAAACATGATTGCCATTCTTGCCAACAATTGATGTCGCATTAGCATGAACTGACGCCATATTGATGCTGAACTAGAGAAATTCAAGTTTTAAAAGTCGATCAATTTTCATTTTAAGGACAACAGATATGTACGTTTAATGTCTAAAGATACCAACATAAATCTATAGGAAGAGAAATTACATTTATCATCGTAAGCATTTAGACAAGCCAATGGCCTGTATTAGAATTACAATAGTAGCAACTAAAAACCTCCATAACAAAATTTGGAGAAAAAAGACTTTCTATACATGCAGATGAAAGAAAACATGATGAGAAAAAATTTTTAGAGAATAAAAGCTTTTAACCCAGATGCACTTGTTGCAACTTCCCAGTCTAAATTTAAACCAGACACAAAAACAGGAGGGGGGGAAAAATAAGACAGGTAAAACTGGAGCAAAGTGTTTGTTTTTTCTTTTTTTTTTTGGGGGGGGGGTGTGGGGAGGAGATGAAGCGGTAAAAAGGGGCAAAAGGCTCTACATAAAAATTTCAGAACCTGACAAAGGAAAAACCGGTAAGGATGATCAGAATTCCGATATGCCTGGTGGATAAAGGTAAAATTTACCCGTTGAAGTGAAGGATTGCAGACACAACCAAAAACTCACCTAACTCGTTCCTTCACTTCACTCTCACAAGTCCCAGTCTAAGATATTTATGTGTCAATTTTTATGTTTTAAACATTATTAAAGATAAAATTGTCGGAGAGTTGACAGCTTCAGGACATGCAAAGTTTTGTATTTGAATAATATTAAGGATTAAGACTTTCTGTTATTTTTCTTTTTTCAGGAAACCGGGTGAAGATTGAGACTACACAACCATTCCCACGACTGAACCCTACGGCCAAGCTCTAGCCTGGCAGATAAAGTAAATTTTATTGAGAACCCAACGCTCAACCACGAACGTCATACCACAGGAATCTATTTTACCGTAGGACAAGCAGATCCCTTCTCAAATGTTCTGCATGTGCCACAGATGTAAAATCCGAATTTTTCAACGCTACATCTTCCTAACTTATCTCTATTCACCTTACTGCACGAATGGAGTGAGAATTTTCACCTTCACAGAGCAGAAACAGAAACAGCCCAGGGAAGATGCTACTTAAAAACCAAATCTAAACGAGAATTGCAACGTTATTACGAAAGGATGAGAAAATGTAACTAAAGCCGAGAGAGAGAATGGGAGAGAACCTGAACGGAAACGCTTGGTGTTGTCACAGCGAGTGAGCGAGTGAAAGAAGAAAGGAGTGCCAATGCCCAATAAGTGGCGCGTTAGTTGGCCAGCTTTATAGGGATTAGGAAGCCACAGATAACGCACTCTGGATTCCTTTCCAGTGAGAATAATCTAAATAAAGAAAAAAAATTATTGTCCTAATCTCGGGCAAAAGAGAAGTATTTATATTATATCAACACAATTTGAAAGTACTAATTTCTTAATAAATTTTTTATAAAAACATGTTCTTATTTGCAAATTCAATGTTATAGAACTTCATTAAAGTGTTGTTATATTTAGAATTTAATAATTTTAAATTTTTTAATATCTTTAAGTTTTCAGTAGATTATTAAAATATATTATTTCAAGTTCTTAATATGAGAGTTCGTTTGATTTTTATTTTGGTACTAAATATACGACTTTAATTCTTTTGCATTTCATATTTAATTTTTTTTTTTAAGATAATCCTTAGAATAATAGTAATTCTAATCATTAATAAGAATATTTTAAGAAAAATAATATCTATTTATTATAAATAATTAATTTTTTTAATTTATTTAAATTAATTTATTAGTTTTTATATAAACATCATGTAGTATTTATTTATGGTCGTGGCCACCTCGCGTCATCCTCATCTTTCAAGAAGAAACGACGCTAAAAAGTGTTCAAAAAGGAAACATGACGTGGCTCCGCCCCTGGGTCTCTCGTGATCTTTTGTGAACCTTTCAGATATTTGTACGAGAGTCATCATCCCAATAATATATTATAATTGTTTAATATTTGTGGTTGTAATTAAAAAACTGTTTTAAAAAAAAATACAAGAATAAAGAACAGGGACCAGAATCTGGTCCAAACAAACAAAGAATAGTGACCGGAAAAAAATTTCTTATATTTTTTGTCGTATCTCATTGTAAATAATACTCCATATTAAATGATAAATGGTAAATAATAAAATGATAAATATATGAGTGAATGGATGAATTATAAGAGTAGTAAAATAAACAGTTTTTTTTTATCATAACTCATATAACTATTATATTGTTTTTGAAAAATTTAAACTCAATTTCATATTTAAAAAATTAAAAGAATTATTCGATATTGTTAAACTATAACACGAGAATTATTTGAAAAGATATGAAAATCCATAATTTTCTTGGATAACAATGATAAAGTTTTCCTTTTACACCAGACAAAGAAGTAGACAATCTTTTGAGTGTTCCTGTTCTACTATATTATTGGAATTTGAAAAGTATTTAATTATTTTTAAAAAATATATTATACTACTTTCTGTTGTTAACATAAGAATTATTCTATAGTTTAAATATAAATTAGATTTTATATCAAGTAGAGAAAGGTTATATGTATATATTTCTCTAATCCTAAATATAAGACTCTTTTTGTAACGTAAATTACACTATAAAAGGAGTTTTATATTTAGGACTGAAGGAGTAAGTGGAGTAGGGGGAGTTATATTATACTATTCCTCCGGTTCTTAATATAAGATTCAATTTTTGAGTTGGTTTTGGTCCTAAATATAAGACCCATTTCTCATATTTATCAATTTTCTCTAAATTATCCCTATGAATACTCCCTCAACTATGATCAGGTAGAAGAGGGAAATGGGGTATTAAGAAAGATGATTATGGTGTTTTAGAAAAAATGTGTCACTTTTCTTATAATTAATTAACTTACTTAACTTCTTTAATCTAATCAAATTAGTTAAATAGGTCTTATATTAAGAATCGGAGGAATATAAAACAGTAGCAACCCAAAACTATGCTTACTCAAGTTGAAGTGTTTGCTTTCCATGGTTACAATTATACACGCTGTTTGGTGCATTGTTTTACTTGAAGCATGAAAAATGAGTTAAATTATTTATGTTTTATATGCAAAAAAGAGGCAAATTCGAAGTTTCATCTGTATTACTACGACATTCCGTTCATCTAAATTTCTTTGATACCAAATGCTGCATCAAAATGATTACTAGTCTTTATCAGCTTCTTTCGCAACTATTCCCTTAAAAAAACAAAAGAAAAGAGAGTCAGGTTTGAAGCTGTTTGATGAAAATTTTGAATTTTGTAACATGGTTAAAACATATTAGAATATATTGTTTTTATTTCGATAATTTTATTTTTATTTTAAAAAAATTTGTAAATAAAAATTTCAGCCTACATGGCTTCTAGCAACTTTCAAATGTTGTATGCAACCAAATATTGCTATATTGTTAAAATCACATAGCTTATTATTTAAAATTTACAAAAAGTTATTCAAATTTAATTTTTTTTATTTTGTCAAAGTTTAATGAATTTGTGTTATGTTGAAGGGTTTATATGGACAGGGAGGATTAAAAATAACTTCCCAAATTATTATTTGATTTGACAAAACTAATACTAATTTAGGTTATACTGAGAATGTGGTGCCGTATTAGTTTGTTAATCCAATTTAGAAGTAATTTGTCCCCCAAAAGGTGGAAATTTCTTAAACAGTCAATACTTCTCTTACATGGAGGGGGAAAAAAGGATTGCTCCCTTAGTTACTGTCCTTCCTTTTTTTAGCGTATAATTTGGAATATTCTCAAACTATTTTGAAAATAAGATCATTTATCATCTCAACCATTAATTTGTTAGTTACAGTCCTCCTTGTCTTTTAATCAAAATAGTACTATGACATTAACATGTCTTTTTTCTGCTTTATTTTTTCTTAAAATATTTTTTGTCATTAAACATAAGCATGTTTTCTTATATATTGGCACGGAATATAACAAATAGGAAGTATTATTTATATGTAAATTATGAGCCTTGTTTGCACTCTTGAATCAGAAACACTCTTGCACAACTATTTTATTTTCTTTTAGTGAGTTGATATTTAGAACTTAATAAAAATGCATATTCGGAACTTGTCTTTTAAAAAAAAAAAAACTCAATCGTAAATAATTAACTAACCATACCAACTGCGTTTTAATAAATCACACGCGCGCGCGGACGCGCGCACACACATTATCCAATTTTCGTCGTGATAATTCTACCTAAATTTTTTCCCCCGGTAGTGAAGCGTCCACGTCCATGCGACATCAAGAATATCTTCTATCTTCCAACATATGGAAAGATCAAGTTAAAATCTACCATTTTCTTTTCTTTCTTTCTTTTGATCTTTTCTATTCAAGTTCATGGCTGAGTTCATTTGCCATATAAAATGTATTATATCTATCACAAAGAGTTATTCCTCCCAATCTTAAATAGAAGTTATTCTGTGGAATTACTCATACTCCTTAAAATTATGATTTGATCTTTCAAAATTAACAACAACAAAAAAACTACTTCTAAATCTAAATAAAAGAAATTCTTCTAATATATAAGATAATTATAACTCTAAATAATTTAAATTCGAGAAATCAATTTCATGGCACTGTTCCCTTTCAAGAAAACTCATCCACAAAGGAGAACGGTCCAACCAAAAGCATGCTATGTGCTTTTGCTACGAACACTAGTTCAAAGATATAATGCATTGAGAAAGCAACACAGATATTTTAGTGTCCCTTCAAAAATATCAGAGATCATGGCCATAACGAGTACAAAAATCACAGCAATCACTCACGTCTGGGCAAAAGACTAGCAACAGTCTGATCAAGTCACTTGCCCATATAAGACAGTGATGATGCAGACTCAACAACACATGGGGTCAATTCCCTCTTCCTCACACACAAAACAACAATTCCCTTCACCCTAAGTTCCTTTCTAACAGACAAATCATTCTACACACAGCACTGTATTGAAGGGCCACTCGACCATGTCACTTGTAATCAATATACATAAAAGCTATAACAAGTCACATTACTCACAAGAAACTAACAACGTAAATCACTTCCCAAGCTCCGTGCCATACACAGAAATCCCATCTAGTAGCAGTAAATATATTTTGGAGTAACATATATCAGAGTACTATATATTTCACAAAATCATGATGTATACAACTGTATAAAAATTACAATTGCAGACTGCGGGATATCACATGAATAATAATCAATATACAACAGATTTCACTATCTGCTCTTATGTAAGGAAAGTAGTTAAAGTGACAACAGCTATGGAACCTGTGACGAGGCACTGATGTATGTACTTCTTTCATCTTGACTTCTCGACTTCGGCTGAGAAAATTGCAAGTCAACACGAGACAGGCTGGCTATGTGTTAAAAATGGCGCCAAATTTTACCTCAGTAAGGAATATACAAAGGTTGTGAAGGTAAGCTAATGCTAGCTGGGGGACAAGCTCCCCAGCTTGGCCATGTATGTACGTCAAAGATAATACTCCGGGTTTCACCCCACATTGCTAGCACATAAGAGAACTCTTCAGCTTCTCAGGAACCCACTTGCAAAGGGAGAAGAGACTCTTGCTTGCCCTGGACAAAGAGTGCAAGCTCCGTTGGTGCAACCACCAATCTTAACCACTTCTGCAGCTCTTCACCCTCCACCTTCTCCTTTTCTGAAGAATAAGTTTAAGACAACATGCGTGATAATCCCAAACAGAGTGATTAAAGATCATCAGTGTATAACATAAGCCCAAAAGATAAGCTGTTTTCCATATCATGAGGTCATTTAAAAAAAAAAAAAAAAAAATCCCTTCAGAAGAGCGCTATATATTGAACTACCATCTAAAGATCAAAACCTGAATCTATCATTAATACTCGTCCATTCATTCATTTATCGATTAATGGTGCGATACAGCATATGGGCTACAAAAGCAAAGCAAGCATTTAGTAACATAGCTAAAATGCTTTCCTTGTCATTAATATGTCTGCTCATGATAATCCGGGCCTCTAGGGAGAACTAATGATTGCATTGAACATGCACTTGCTAGTACTAACACATTTGAGAATTCTTAATTGGCTTGTTTAAATATCCTTAGACTGCAAAACAAAGGAGTATCATGGATCAACACCGAGGTATTGACAGCAATTCTAAGATATTGCATGACAAACTGGGATGTGATGAGATAGAATGCAATAGAAACATTTCATAGAGGCTAAGAAGCTATGGCTGCTACAGAAAAGAAAGTACATTTCCCCCACTATCCTTGCTTCTCACAAATTAGAATGAACCTAGAGCTATGTATTTAAAGATTTTAGCCTAAGCCTTCTTCTGAGATAGCAACGTCTTAAAAGAACTTGACGTGCATAATACCCATTCATTTAAATTAAAATATATATTCATCACTTATTTGTCGGCTATCAATCATAAACTGTGCCAAACCAGATATCCGTAAATACTAGAAGATATTACCTTCCAACTGCGCACCAAGACCCTCCAAAACAGTAGGATTAGCTCGCACGATGGTAAGTGCTACATCCAGAGAAGACTGCAGCAACATTTTCACCTCTCTTTGTACCAGATCAACAAGTTGCCCCTGTTAGTGTTCAGACTGAAATCAGCATATGGAAGAAATTGAACAAGAGAAAGAAAGAACTAAATAAACTGCAGGACCTGATCCCTTCCCCAAGGAACTGCTCCTCCAGACTCATCTATTCCTCCATTAGAAAGTGTGGCTATTGAAACAGGGCCGATGGTCTGATTAAGACCATACTCAGCTACTGCCTTGTATGCCATGTCAGTTGCTCGCCTAATGTCATCAAGTGCACCTGTTGACACTCTACCTGAGTAAACAACTTCTTCTGCAGCACGTCCTCCAAGAAGGGTAACGAGGCGACCACGCAACTCATCAATGAATAGCAAATATCTATCCTCATTGGTTGGAGGAATATAAGTAAATCCCAAAGCCCCTCCTGACCTTGGCAAGATGCTTAATTTCTGATAACAAAAAAGAAATGAAGTAAGGCACTGAGAAATCTATAATAAGCAATAATTAATGAAAAGATAAGCAGCATGGCAACTAGCAACTTCAAATACAGAATTTACCCATTGCATGCGCGCACACTAGCAGCAATAACACAAAAAATATGCATAGCCTTGCAGAAAAAAATCATACATAGTATTCCAAGTACCCAAACTCATCTACATACAAGAGAGAGCACAATCCCTGATTGCCAGTCATCCAAACTCAGTCGCTATTTTTCAAAAGAAAGACTAAGGGCCAAAGCATTTAGTGACAGCGAAAACCTCCAATCCTGTTGAAGTCTTGGTTTATAATTACACAATGTTGAGAATATCAATTTATACATCATTCATCAAACCTAGGTCTTATTCATGAACTGATTAGAAAATTCAAAGGAATAAGAATAAAAAGCTTTTCAAAGGTTGAATAGTATAAATCTCACATTTAGCCTACACGGGCCAAAAATTGTTAGTTACCAAAGTAACTATGAGTACAGGCACAGTTCTTAAATTTCGAGCTGAATGCCAAAGGGTTGAACACAAAAAGCACAACAATGCAAGCACAGCATCAATACATGAGAGTGTGACCAAATATTTTAGTCATAAACCTAATATCTTCCATAGTTTACCTCAACACGTGGCTGTCCAGGAAGAAGATTTGCAACTGCAGTACCTACAACAGCATGACCAGCTTCATGTCGTGCAACCACAGCCTTCTCGCTGCCCTGCAATTTGGCAGTCTTCTTCTCTATACCCTGAAAAAAGCAGCTTGGTTCATTTTCTTGACCAACTCTTTAAACTAGAGTCGCATTAATGAAACTGAGATTTTCTACATAGCATGTTACACATAGCTCATCCATTATAAAGAAAGAAAAATTGACCCAAAATTATTGAGAATGCGACAACTAAATACATGAAGAAATAGTTAAGACTAGTGATTGGAATACTAGTTATTATAAAAATCAGTAAAATATAGCTTCTTGCCACACATCCCACGTCAAATCAACTATTCAGTTGTGGAAATAAATTTCCAACTGAGTCAACTATTGGCCATCTGAAACTCCAGATGTTATTAACTTCTAATTAACAGAACTAGGACAAAGATGATATTGCCATGACATGACCGATGATAATTAATTTCAAAGTGAGTTTCACAGACACAGGCAAAAGACAGGTAACAGGACACCCCCCCGGGCCCCCAAAAAAAAAAAGAGAAAAAAGAAATGAGCACGCACAATCTTTCCCACGTAACGTTTTGCAAATAAGGACCCATATAAGTGCTGGACACTTTGTTAGAATGACTTCGTACTCTGAGAACAGCACCATTGTATTCTATCAACAACCAATTCTTTGGATGAAATCTCCACATAACCATAAAGCATAATATATTGGAAGCTACAATGTAGTTTCCATTGACAATCAAGCTCACAGCTAAATCATTATCCATGCATCTTAAGCTTGCAACTTTCTGAATAGTTCTGGTAATTATATATTGCTCTTTCCCACTCAATCATCCCCACACTGATTCACATGTGTCTTAGAAAAGCAAGCTCACTGAAGAGACTGTCTCTTTTCTTCTTCTTCTCCTGCTTGTGTTTTTTTTTTTTTTTGGGGGGGGGGGTGAAAAGACACTGTGTCATTTTAACCTCAGGTATTATCATCCAAACCCAGAACGAATTAGCTCATAGATGCCACGACATTTATGTTGACCTCAGATGCATGGCCTCAATGACATTTTCTTTTCAACAGAATCAAAACGGTCAAACTTAAGACCCATTTTGATGATAGAGTGGAATGAAATCAGATAGATGATTTCTTAAATGAGAAATGTCTCTTATTACTCTGGATAGAAAAGTAATGCAAAGATATTGGCTAGAATAACAAACATGACTTACAGCTATTGATCTCTCCACGGCTTGAATAAAATCAATTTTCTCCACAACAATTTTGTTTTGTCTTCCAGCCAATAAGGCAGCTTCATTTACAAGGTTTGCAAGATCTGCCCTGTAATGATGCGTGAAATAATTCAGATGAAAATTTCAACTTTAGCATATTCAAAGTAAAAGGGAGTCACAAGGAAACCAATGCATTTACCCAGTGAAACCAGTGGTCATAGCAGCAATGTCACTGAGGTCAACATCTTTGGCTAAAGGAAGTTCTTTCTTGGCAACATGAACTTTTAGGATGGATTCTCTTCCACTCCTATCAGGAGTTTCCACCTATAGAAAAGGGGATATAAATGAGGCAGTTGTTCTAAAAATATGGAGAGCCACGAACTAATTCAATACTGAAAACCAAATGGGATATTGAAACTAGAACACAAACCATAACTACACGATCAAATCTCCCTGGTCGACGAAGTGCAGGGTCTAAAACATCGGCACGATTAGTTGCACCAAGAACAATAACGGCAGAGTTGCTGTCAAACCCATCCATCTCCTGTAAAGTGATTTTAGCCATTATCCTTAAAGAGACGGATTAGTTAATAATCAGAAAATAAGAAATGATCTCAAAGGGATTCTAACAGTGAGCAACTGATTTAAGGTTTGCTCTCGCTCATCATTGCTGACAATACGAAATTTCCCATCACGACTTTTGGCCACAGCATCTATCTGTATGCCAAAATAGATTCTGATTAATCAAATACTGATAAGTAGTTGTTGAACCCAATCATCCCAATGAACAAGGTAATGCGCATTCTTACCTCATCAATAAATATTATGGATGGAGCTTCCTTCTTTGCCCGTGCAAAGAGGTCTCTCACACGGGAGGCACCCATGCCAACATATAACTCCACAAACTCACTAGCAGAACAGCTTATGAATGGCACATCAGCTTCCCCAGCAACAGCCTTAGCTAGTAGAGTCTTGCCTGTTCCAGGAAGACCCACCAGGAGAACACCCCGAGGAGGACGAGCACCAAGTCGAATATATTTGTCTGGGTTTCGAAGAAATTCCTGGCATGGGCACAAGGGACAAGAAAATTCTGTCATGGAAAGAACTAAGAATGAAAGAAGATCATGCTGTAAAACTTTTAGCGTCTAAAACACCCTACAGATGGGAAGTGCAGAATATGAGCTTAAGAGAGTCCAGCCTACCACAATCTCTTCTAACTCTTCCTTAGCCTCATCAACACCAGCAACATCAGCAAAAGTGATAGCCTCGCCTTGATCAGATGACTTTGCACCAGTAGAGGTACCTGGTTTCCGGTTCCTAATCTGACCAGCAGTATGCTGTACAGAGCATATATACACTCAGAAAAATGTTGCATTTTATTTCACCAAAAAAAAAAAATGTTGCATTTTAACCATCTAGAAAGTGGGAGAAAGCCTTAAAAAGACATGGCAAGCAATCTACCACCTGAGAAAAGCTCACAGGGAATCGATGCAGAAGCCCAGCAAGCACAGCAACATAGAACAAGGCTATCTGTGCATATGATACGATAATGTAGTGAGTATGACACACTATATGTAGAATGAAATGAAAAAAAGTTGATAGAATGAAAAGGTGACATGGCAAATGTATAAAAACAGGTTTCTTATTCATTCTGTAGTCATGATACTATACAATCACAGTAAAAAGGAACTAGATATCAATCTACACTGTGGAATAGTTAGCAGTAGTGAAAAAGAAGTTGGGTTTTATACAGACAGATTTACCTCATAAAATCAAGATTAAAAAAGAAGCTTCCATTAAACAGCATTAAAACCATCTGGTTCTTTTTTGTTCCCTTGGTTTTTGATTCCTCATGGTACAAAAAATAGAGCATTTAATTCTAAACTCTTTATAAATTATCCCTGCATCAAAGTCCTCATAATCAATGTAAATTCAAATACATTAGTTACACACATGTACAAATTACTTCCCGAGTTAAGACCATTAGCAATTAACATTTCTGATTATTCTAACACCATATCCGCACCATCTTAACGCCTGTGGCTAACTCTACAAAAGCATAAAATGTTTCTCGAGTCTCAAATGCAACTTCCTTACCAAAGCTGAGTTAAAGAATCCACCAGAACGTTTATCCGGTGACCCGAACTCTACCTCATTTTCCAACATCTTTTCGTACGGAGTTTTTATATCACTTGGCCTTGTTGTTGTGTAAACTATCCTTTTCGTTGGAGCGACACTCTTAATCAACGATTCTGACTCTTGCAACTTACTTGCTCCCGCAACTTCACTATCCTGAACATCAGACTTCAATTTAAACATGATATGGACACCATCAACCTCCACCTTCTGCACTTGATTACTGTTAATTTTACTCAAGAAATCGCTGTATGGCACACTAACAAACGTAGTGGGAGTCCTCGGCTCCGACCCAGGTAATGGAACCCCGGGGCGAAGCAACCGCATAACGAAAATCACAATTCCCAACTGCAAGAGCAAAACTCCAATTTCCTGAGCCTGAACTATGGGTTGCCATCTCCACTTCCCTCCCTTAGAACTCCACCACCACCCACCTTTCCCATGTTTCTCCCTCCTCCGGTTCGAACCGGAAGTCGGCGAATTCTTGACCCCTTGACCCTCGCTGGCTTTCGCAGCTTCACTCTGCTCACTGGAACCCGAACCCGCCGCGGTCGAATCGCTTTCTTGACCGCTAGCTCTAACGCTACAACAACCCTTTCTGAGTCCGTAGTTCCTCACAAAACCTCCCCACAAATTGAACCTCTCTGAATTCCTCGACAAATTAACTTGCTTGTAAGCTCTAAAGGGCGGAACCGCCCCGGAATTCGCAACGTAATGACTCGAATTCTTGCAAAAAAACGTCGATTTCTGTGGGGAAAAGCCCCATCCTTGCCAGTGATAGAAATTCGAATTCGAATTTAGATAGAATTTGCTGTAAGTTAACGGCGAAAGATACTCCAACGCTGACATTCCGAAATACCCCAGAAATAAGAAAAAAAATCAAAACCTGAGGGTGTTCGTATCCTTGTACAGATGCATACAGACGAGCTTCAGGGATATAATTTCAGAGAACCGATGATGCTAAAATCGGAAGAAGAAGAGACCCGGAGAGCGGAAGACAGGGTGATCCGACAAGTGAAGGTAGCCGTTTGATTAGAGAGAAGTGAAAGATCTGAACCGTTCACATTCGATTATGAGAATACAGTCTTTGGGCCGGGGGGATTTTTTATTTCGGTATGGGGGGTGGAAATAGGATTCGGTGTGCCGCTTCCCACTGAAAGGGAAAATCCAAGTCATTCCAGAAATCACACGTGTCGAGTAGTGAGAGGAAAGGGAGAGATCTCCTAATGATTTGCCGCAATTTCGCGCGCAAACTAGAATCACACGTTTAGCAGAGCGTGAGGACCACCCGCTGCGTTCTGAAGCGAAGCCAATCAATCAGCCACAGCCCAAGGGCTTGTTCCCGGTCCTCAATCCTTCAATTCAGTTCGACCCAAAAAACATTCAAATCTATCTCAGTTAGTCAATTGTGTACCAACCAAAAAAAAAATTACTACGTCCGATCTTCAATATAAGATCCTGTTTGACTTTTATGTTAGTCATAAATATAAAACCCTAATATATTTTGTCTCTCATATTTATCTAATTTTTTTAAGATAGTCCTTCTAGTAATTATAGTTTTAGCAATATACTTGAATAATGATATTTTAGGAAAAATAACATCTATTTATTACAAATAACTAACTTAACTTTTTTTCTTCATTTCCTCAAATCAGTCAACTGGCTTTTATAATTAGAACCGAAGGTAGTATAAGACTTTGTTTGACTTTTATTTTGGTCCTAAATATAAAACCACAATCCACTTTGTCTATTATATTTATATTTTTTTCCAAGTTAGTCCTTTTAATCAATACACTTGATTAGTAAGGATATTTTTAGAAAGACAACATCTATTTATTACAATAACTAATTTAACTTTTTTTTTAATTTTTCAAATTAGTCAATCAACTTTTATAATTAGAACCGGAGGACGGAGGTAATAATTTTTACTTATGGACGCAACATTTTCATACAGACTCGCTTGTTCACAATGTCCATGGTCTTAACACATGAGACTTCGCAAAATAATATCTTAGGGCCCCATAAACGAAATGGTCACAAAATGACCTATGTAATATCTATGGGTAATTTACATAATATCTATGTACTCCTCCGGTCCTTATTATAAGACCCAATTTGACTTTTTATTTAGTCCTAATTATAAGACCCAATCCATTTTGTCTTTTATATTTATGCATTTTTTTTCCAAGATAATCCTTCTAATAATGATAGTTTTAGCCAATATACTTAATTAGCAAGGATATTTTAGGAATGACAACACTTATTTATTATAAATAACCAACTTAACTTACTTCCTTAATCTCCTCAAATAAGTCAATTGGGTCTTATAATTAGGACCGGAGGAGTAGTATCACAGTGATTTTGCATGTCGAAGTATGTGCATCGGTGCATGTCAAAAACTAAAATTTCCCGTTATTCCATAAGGGGTATATTGCATATATTGCCTCATATATTCCTTTATTTTCATTTATGCCCCGGTTAAAGTAGATTTGGGCTTGTCCATTTAGCGGTAGGATTTTTCCAACAATATATGCACACACAAACACAAATTTTCTCTGAGTATTTTAATCTCAAAAGAAAAGGGATTAGTGATGACACACTTCTTGCTTAACATTAGGCATATAATTTTCATTCTTCATGTCAAATTTCAAGTAGGATCGACACATTCTTATGAAGCAATTTTTTTTTTTTGTGGTGTGGATATTTTTTATTGCAGGTGCTCATCATTTTTTTCATCAAATCATATATAACCTTTTATACAATAAGCTTCGTTTTTTATCATATCATTATTATGTTATTAATTTGACTTCACTTGACAAATATTCAACCTGTGGTCGAAGAGGAGAATAATTTTAAGAAATTTTTACGGATGGTCAAGAAACGGCTATGCTGCACCGAATTTTTTTGGCCCCCAAAAAAGTAGCTGCCAATGTCATGTCATAATTGGGCCCAACTTTGATTGGTCCACGATAGGATTCATACATAGGCCCGGCCTATGGATTTCTCAGTGGAAATCACTATCAGGCTCAAATCTGAGATGGTTAACTACATTTATCCCGATCTTCTGTTAGACATATATGTTCAAGCTTGGCTTTGGGGAATTTGTCAACAACCGAACCCGCGCCAAGCCTTCATAACACTGTTCAACTGAAGCGCGCTTATTGGTTAAAGCACAGCTAATGACTAGTCTTTGACTTTCATATCCATCTTACTTTTATTTTAATTCTAAATATAAGATTTTAACTTATTTTATCTTTTATATTTATCTATTTTTTCTAGATAGTCCTTCTAATAATGATAATTCTAACTAATACACTTAATTAGCAAAAATATTTTAAGAAAGACAATATATTTTGTTATAAATAATTAACTTAACTTATTTTCTTAATGTACTTAAATTAGTTAACTAGCTCTTATATTTAGGACCACAGATAGTTTTTTTTTATCCTGCAGTTATTATTTAGAATTTCAATAATAATTTTGAGCTTAGTTAGTGTTTTTAGACATTATCTGAATTATTGATTGATTTTGATATTAAAAATACATATTAGCAAGTTATAGGGCAAATTGCAAGTATTTTAATTTTGCAATTATATTACTCATCCTACGGCTATAAAACTTTGCTTCACTTCACCCAAAAAAAAATTGCTTCACTTAGATTTAATCTGTACAGTGGGCAAAACGTCCTTTTGACGAATATATTTGTCCCAACAAAATAATACAGTTAGCTAAAGGAGGCTATCATTATTTTTTTTTCCGCTAAATCATAGATATCTTCCTATTGGAAGTAATCCTATTCAAGATACTGATGAGTACTAAATGCGAGTACCTCTCCCAGTAACGATTTGAATTGTCATGTTGTGAGGAACTAACTTTGCTAGATCTAATCCTTATCGGTGAGACTACCATTATTTTCCTTTGTTTAGGTTTCTTAATGAATCCTGGGCGTGAGGGACAATTGGAAGAATAAAATACAATTAAGAAGAACTATAATAATTTCTTTCTTCTTCTTTTTCCGGTTGAGCAATCAATTATTAAATGTTTAAGCTTTATTTACTTCATAATTTCTCAACACGTGTTTTATGGTAGGATAATGCTTTTACAACTATTATGCCAAGTTTTCCGATCACACTTTGTTATGTGTTCTATTTTTTTCCAGTTCTAAATATAAAAACTGTTTTGTAATGTAATTTAGATTATAAAATCAGCCTCACATTCCAATCATCTAGATAATAGGGTTCTTTCTGCACTTAGAATCTAACCACAAAAACCCCGGCCCCTAAGTTAATCTTTCTTAAGAGAATTATGACCTGGGTTACTGCTATGCTGCTTTTGTAGCTGGACCTAGAAGTGACTACTAATGGCGCTTCCTAGATGAAATGAAAAGCAGGATTTACGCAGAGAAGAGGTTCCCATGTTATCCGGAAAGATATGTTGCTATGATATAGGAAAGTGAAAAATGGGATTGACTTGTTAGGTCATAGTTTAGTGAAACACGGCACAATGGATTGATGGGGACTGTGGAACACGAGGAACAAATGAGCGCAGAGGCCATTAAGCGTTCACAATAACTTAAGCATGCATATTATGTCAGTGAAGACTTGGTGTGAAGCCTTGGAGCTTACGTTACGTTAGAAGAGCAAAAGGCCCGGGGCTAGGGTGAGCTGAGGGGGGACAGCGTCTTCGCTGTAGAACTGAACCGCTCTTATTGGCCCCAACAACACTACAAAAACTAGACCTTTCTTGAACTATATTCCACATAACGTCGGAATTTTCATGCAGCAAACAATTTATCAGGCCGACCCACTTCACTCTCATGGACGACCTCCGATTGACGGCACGACAAATAATTTGCCTAAGACTACTATATATCGTAAATTTTAATAATAACTTCCCTAAAAACTTAAGCAACTTTGGTAAAAATTCAGTAAAATTTTTCTTAAATTTAAGTAATGATCTATTTCTTGACAAGATTGATGACTAGGAGTTGAAGTTCTCTGTTCATATGTTTTTCGTGTCATGCACGGTTTTTATTATCAGCTCACCTACGAGCCATAGCTTCTCTCATGGTAATTCCCCCGTATTTCCCTTTCCATCCATGCATCTTCCCATTCATCCGTTTCGTTTAGAGATTGTGATTACTCAATCTTCTTCTTCTTCTTCATCATCAAGGTTTCAACTGCTCTTCAATGGCCAAGTCTTGTGGGCATCATGGGAAAATCATATTTAAGATACCTATACTTTCTTCTAATTTTTAATTTGACACTTATGTGTTTATTTTCTCTCAATTAAATCATTTAATTTTACTTTTTTTTAGCAATATTAGCTCTTATAATTTTTTTCTATTAGTATTTTTAGTCTCCGTACAAGAGCTAACAATATTAAAAAAGTGAAATTAAAGATTTAATTAAAAGAAAAAAATATATAAGTACCAAATTAAAAATAAAAAAAAATACAAGTACTTTCAAAATGGTTTTTCCTTAAATCATATATAAGCTTGTATACGATAAGCTTCGTTTTTTGTAACATCATTAGTATGTTATTAATTTGACTTCACTTGACAAATATTCAACCTGCGGTCGAAGAGGAGAGGAATTTTAAGAAATTTTTACGGATGGTCAAGAAACGTCTATGTTGGACGGATCCCCCCCCCCCCCCAAACAAAAGAGAGAGCTACTAATGTCATGCCGTAATTGGGCCCAACTTTGATTGGTCCACGGCATTATTCCTACGTGGGGCCGGCCTATGGATTTCTCAGTGGAAATCATGATCAGGCCCAAACCTGAGATGGTTAGTCCCCAATCATCGGATGGACAGATGTTGAAGCATGGCTTTGGGGAATTTGTCAAAAACACAAAAAAGTCATTTTATACCTGTTGCTGAACCCTTGCTTGGGACGGTAGACATTTTCCATAGAAGTCAATGGCTTTGCATGAAATTCTTCTTGTAAGTGAGGGATGGTAGGTTCGATCCATTTATAATCTTGACTCGTTCTTTAATTTGAA